AAAAATCAAAATTGTATGACACCATTTTGCAAATAAAATTCTCTAAAAAAAAAAAAATGAACTCTTGAAAAACAGCTGAAAATTTTTTGAGTAAAAATTTTGAAAATAATCTCGGTGTCACATTGAAGAAAAATTAATGACTTTTTTTTTCAAAAAGCGCCGAAAATAAAATTACAACAAATCCAGTCTTTAAAAAAATTACCGAAGGACAAGAAATTTCAGTCTTGAAAATAAAACCACGATCTTTATTTACAAAAAGAATAAAAAGTAAAATTTTTCTCAATTTTCAAAAAAAAAAAAACAAAAATTATACTAACACCTTGAAAAAATCAGACTTTTGAGAAAACAAGCCTTCAGATTTTGAAAAAAAAAAAAGAAATAATGATAAAAACAGTGTGTTTTCAATTTTATAGAATAACATATTCCTATACCTGTAATTTATGAATCCGTGTTGAATTTTTACATCCAGATTTTTGGAAAACAATCAAAATTGTATGACACCATTTTGCAAATACATAATTCAAATTCTTTAAAATAAAAGTGAATTCTTGAAAAACAGCTGAAAATTTTTAGAGTAAAAATCTTGAAAATAATCTCGGGGTCACATTGAAGAAAAATTAATGACTTTTTTTTCAAAAAGCGCCGAAAATAAAATTACAACAAATCCAGTCTTTAAAAAAAATTACCGAAGGACAAGAAATTTCAGTCTTGAAAATAAAACCACGATCTTTATTTACAAAAAGAATAAAAAGTAAAATTTTTCTCAATTTTGAAAAAAAAAACAAAAATTAAACTAACACCTTGAAAAAATCGGACTTTTGAGAAAACAGGCCTTCAAATTTTGAAAAAAAAAGAAATAATGATAAAAATAGTGTGTTTTCAATTTTATAGAATAACATATTCCTACACCTGTAGTTTATGAATCCGTGTTGAATTTTTACATCCAGATTTTTGGAAAAAATCAAAATTGTATGACACCATTTTGCAAATGCATAATTCAAATTCTTTAAAATAAAAGTGAATTCTTGAAAAACAGCTGAAAATTTTTAGAGTAAAAATCTTGAAAATAATCTCGGTGCCACATTGAAGAAAAATTAGTGACTTTTTTTCAAAAAGCGCCGAAAATAAAATTACAACAAATCCAGTCTTTAAAAAAAATTATGGAAGGACAAGAAATTTCAGTCTTGAAAATTAAACCACGATCTTTATTTACAAAAAGAATAAAAAGTAAAATTTTTATCAATTTTCAAAAAAAAAAAATTAAACTAACACCTTGAAAAAATCAGACTTTTGAGAAAACAAGCCTTCAGATTTTGAGAAAAAAAAAGAAATAATGATAAAAATAGTGTGTTTTCAATTTTATAGAATAACATATTCCTACACCTGTAGTTTATGAATCCGTGATGAATTTTTGCATCCAGATTTTTGGAAAAAAATCAAAATTGTATGACACCATTCTGCAAATACATAATTCAAATTCTTTAAAATAAAAGTGAACTCTCGAAAAACAGCTGAAAATTTTTAGAGTGAAAATCTTGAAAATAATCTCGGTGTCACATTGAAGAAAAATAATGACTTTTTTTGCAAAAAGCGCCCAAAATAAAATTCCAAAAAATCCAGTCTTAAAAAAAATGATATAGCAACTTATGATTTTGACGAAAAACGGAAAATTTACCGAAGGACAAGAAATTTCAGTCTTGAAAATAAAACCATGATTTTTATTTACAAAAAGAATAAAAAGTAGAAATCTCAATTTTCCAAAAAAAATCAACTAAAACCTTGAAAAAATCAGACTTTTGAGAAAACAAGCCTTAAAATTTTGAAAAAAAAAAAAGAAATAATGATAAAAATAGTGTGTTTTCAATTTTATAGAATAACATATTCCTACACCTGTAGTTTATGAATCCGTGATGAATTTTTGCATCCAGATTTTTGGAAAAAAATCAAAATTGTATGACACCATTCTGCAAATACATAATTCAAATTCTTTAAAATAAAAGTGAACTCTTGAAAAACAGCTGAAAATTTTTAGAGTGAAAATCTTGAAAATAATCTCGGTGTCACATTGAAGAAAAATAATGACTTTTTTTGCAAAAAGCGCCGAAAATAAAATTCCAAAAAATCCAGTCTTTAAAAAAAATGATATAGCAACTTATGATTTTGACGAAAAACGGAAAATTTACCGAAGGACAAGAAATTTCAGTCTTGAAAATAAAACCATGATCTTTATTTACAAAAAGAATAAAAAGTAGAAATTTTCTCAATTTACAAAAAAAAAAATTAAACTAAAACCTTGAAAAAATCAGACTTTTGAGAAAACAAGCCTTAAAATTTGAAAAAAAAAGAAATGATAAAATAATGTGTTTTAAATTTTATAGAATAACATATTCCCACAAGTGTAGTTTATGAATCCGTGTTGAATTTTTACATCCAGATTTTTGGTAAAAAATCAAAATTGTATAACACCATTTTGCAAATACATAATTCAAATTGTTTAAAATAAAAGTGAACTATTGAAAAACAGCTGAAAATTTTTAGAGTAAAAATCTTGAAAATAATCTCGGTGTCACATTGAAGAAAAAAAATGACTTTTTTTTCAAAAAGCGCCGAAAATAAAATTACAACAAATCCAGTCTTTAAAAAAAATTATATAGCGACTTGGGATTTTGATGAAAAACGGAAAATTTACCGAAGGACAAGAAATTTCAATCATGAAGATAAAACCATGATCCTTATTTACAAAAAGAATAAAAAGCAGACATTTTCTCAATTTTCCAAAAAAAAATTCAACTAAAACTTGAAAAAAATCAGACTTTTGAGAAAACAAGCCTTAAAATTTTGAAAAAAAAAAGAAATAATGATAAAAACAGTGTGTTTTAAATTTTATAGAATAACATATTCCCACAAGTGTAGTTTATGAATCCGTGTTGAATTTTTACATCCAGATTTTTGGTAAAAAATCAAAATTGTATAACACCATTTTGCAAATACGTAATTCAAATTGTTTAAAATAAAAGTGAACTATTGAAAAACAGCTGAAAATTTTTAGAGTAAAAATCTTGAAAATAATCTCGGTGTCACATTGAAGAAAAATTAATGACTTTTTTTTCAAAAAGCGCCGAAAATAAAATTACAACAAATCCAGTCTTTAAAAAAAATTATATAGCGACTTGGGATTTTGATGAAAAACGGAAAATTTACCGAAGGACAAGAAATTTCAATCATGAAGATAAAACCATGATCTTTATTTACAAAAAGAATAAAAAGCAGACATTTTCTCAATTTTCCAAAAAAAAATTCAACTAAAACTTGAAAAAAATCAGACTTTTGAGAAAACAAGCCTTAAAATTTTGAAAAAAAAAAGAAATAATGATAAAAACAGTGTGTTTTCAATTTTATAGAATAACATATTCCTACACGTGTAGTTGATGAATCCGTGTTGAATTTTTACATCCAGATTTTTGGAAAAAAAAAATCAAAATTATATAACACCATTTTGCAATTTAACTTTGAAACTCCAAAACCGAATGCTCTGAAATTTTGTAAACGTTTTAAGCTTATTGTTAGCACGATAAATAATTAATCAAAATCGTTCTTTCTTTTTTTAACGAAAAATATGAAAGATGGGTTCTATCAAGGTCGATTTAAACAATTACCAATTTGGACTGACGAATCAATAAGTGTAGTAATTATCAGACACAGAAGATATAAGTGAAATGTCTGCAGTATTTTTGGGAGGTGAATATAACTTGCGGCTTTATTTTTAACCCCTGAAACGAAAATCGTGACTTAGATCTAAAGTATGTAAACAACGAAAACTTCCTCTTCACATGTCACGTTATTTTTATTCGAAACTTAAGATTTATCAGAAGGCCAACGAATTACTTAAATTATTCTAAATTTACGTTGTATAAACTGACAAAAATCAAACTTCTGCATTTATATATAGTCATTATAAAAAAACGATTAGTAAAATGACCTTTTTTAACGTGATTCTAGCGTGAAATAACAGATTACCTATTAATAGCACTCATGTGCGAAATATTTCACAGAAATAAAACCTTCCAATGATATCACAGAACACTCAAATAAGAAAAACAAACAAATCAAGCTTAATTTTCTAGAAAGCCAACCAATAATAAAAATGAGTGGTTGTAAAAGACACAGTCAGTTTGCCAATTTTGTGAATGAATGAATAAACTCTCAATTAAAATAAACTAAGAATTCCGAAAAGCTCACTTAAGCAGCACAAAGACCATTTGTTGATAACTCAATTACTCCTATTAAATAATCAAATCCAGCTAAATCTAACTCATACAGAGCAACGCAGCGGCGCCCACATCCTCTGTAATCACCTCGTTCGATAAACATAATACTGTTAACACCTCAACTATATTTCATCGTTATCTGATCTTCACGCGTTATTTATAGCAGCTCCACAGCCGCCGTCTTGTCTGTACCACGCACCCCTCGAGCCTCCAGCAGCAACGAGTCCCACTTTCCCGCTTTTCCTTCCACAAACGTGTTAGTTTTCGGCTAAAACGAAAGCCAGCATGGACACGCGGAGCGCCATATCCAGGCCACGAAAACAGGGGTTAAAACGGGCAGCTCAATACTCACCCTCTCCAGCTTTTGGAAATACTCCCTCAGGAACGAAATCGGGTTGGCTGGACGGTTTACACATAATTGAACGATACAATCTTTGAGAATTTGCTGGATATTGTGTGTTTGAACGTAAGCTTCGCATTCACGCAGGGATTGCTCCTCGTCGACGTTCGCTGCCATTTTTACAACACTTGAACTTGCGGCGGCTACGGTTTCAGTAAAAGTTCAATTGCACTTCGCGAATCTTTTGAAAACGTTGTTAATGTTAAAAAAAAGAACTGAAAGTGATTTGACAGTTGTTGCTATTTTTATTTTTGTTTCTTTGGGGCGGCTAGGTTGGTAGCGTGGGATGGGGGCGGGGCGACGCTAGAGGGCGCAGCGGGCGCTGTCAAAAAGGTAACCGTGTTGTTTATGTTCGAATTTGACGAAAAGCCCGCCACTGAGAATGAGATAACCCTATTTAAAAATTTCAACGTTTAGTGGTTTTAGTGATGAAGCGCGTTAAAAATAAGGTTGGTGGTTGACGATTTTGCCTGTGTTTGATTATGTGGGTTTAAGGTGCAACCACAAGTCACAAAAATTTCGGATTTTTTCGCCAAAGCCCCTTGCAATGGGGTTGACAATAAGAGGAAGCTGCCGGAGTGTTCAGTGCTAAACCCTCTAACTAATTTACCCCAAAAATGTGATCAAGAAGTTTCACCTAAATGTAAAAAAATCAAGTGTGATGAAAATGACACGGTTGTGCCGCCCCCATACTCTGTTAATTTTAAAGTATGTACCCCCGACAAGGGGTTGAAGCCCTCTACATCTATGAAGACACCCACTCCAAGTCAAAGTCCACGTTTGAACAATAGGACTCCTCAAAGTGGTAAGAAGGGGACCCCCAGAAAGCTGTTTGAAAAATCGCCAAGGAGGGTCGAGGACTTTAATGTACAGTTGCTGGAAGCTTTCGTGAAAATGTCGCCTAGTTTGTCCAATAAAAAAATTAAAATCAAGTGTACACCAACCAAAGTTGCAGAGGAGTCACAAGGATTAAAAAGGTTTTTTTTTTATTTTTAAACTGCGTCAAACTTTTTATTAACATAAAAATTAATAAGTAAAAATAAAACTAAAACAAACTGAACTGAAAATTTAACACTATTCTGTATTCCAATTGATCACTGTTATCTTATCAATTAAAGTAAACACAAACACTTTTTACTTACTTGTTAAAAACTTCATTTAGAGGTTCTCCTGCTCAAAACCGCAACGAAACCACTCCCTCTAAATCACCCAAAACGCCCTCTTTAGTGTCGCCGAGGGCCAAAACGAAGCTCAGTTTTTTAGACAGTGTAGACGCTTGTTTAAAAAAAGAGCCAATGGATGACGATTTTGACCTAAAACTCGAGTGTGATATTTTAGACGACGAATTTGATTCGTTGCTTGTAAGTATAGAAAAAATAACCACCAATGCGTAACATTTTTGTTGAAGAGTTTTGAAGATGAATTTAGCACTCTTGACCTGCAAAAACCCCAACACTGCACTATTGTGGACATTAATCAGTCAGATCGAGGGGTTGTTTTAAAATTAAAATCCAGTAAAGACGGACGTAAGGGTAAATGTAGTGTTGAAGAATTCTGGTGAGTGCTTTGGTTTTTATTTTTTTTGTTTAATCGTTTTAAAGGTCGTCAGGTCACTTTAAAGCGGGTGATAGCGTATACATAAATGCGGAAATGGTTGGAAATAAGTGGGTTATCAATAATAAAAAAGGGTGGCTGGTGTATGAGCCGGATTTACTGATTCCGTGTACGTCAGTCGTTGGGAGTCTTTTTTGCAAACGAAAGGGCGTCCTGTCGGACCTTTTTCGGGGTTTTGAGGGCAGCAACCGTATTATGATAGTCGGGATTTTAACCCACACACTGTTACAACAAGCGTTAAAAAATAAACTAACAACAACTGAAGAGATCAGAGGTCTGATGAAGAGCATTCTCGAATCTAAAGACACCGTAAGTGCGGCACTCGCTTCTGATTGGCGCGGTTTAAAATAATTGTTCCCAACTACTTAGGTGAAAAAACTGTACGAAAGTGACCTAACTCTCCCCGAAATCGAAACCGAACTGGAAGTTTTCCTCCCCAAACTTGTCACTTTCATCGCCGAATACATAAATCGCGAGAGTCAGCCTGAAGGTTCAAACTGGCAAGGAAAAATTTGCGAAATCAACGACATTGAAGAAAATTTGTGGTGTCCGGAATTAGGGATCAAAGGCAAAATCGACGTCACCGTGCAGACGGAAAGCGATATATCACCCCTAGAACTGAAGACTGGAAGGGCCACCATGTCGCTAGAACACAGAGGACAAGTGGTCTTGTATATTATGATGATGAATAAATTCGGCTATAAAGTCTCGTCGGGTTTATTGTTGTATTTAAAGTTAGTCGAATTTTGTGTCAATTCTTTTACTGGTGGTTTGATTTGTAGAGAAGGCGTTTTGAAGGAAATTAAAGCGAGTGCGGAAGAGAAAAGAGACGTGATGATACTGAGAAACGAGTTTGCGTATTTTTTGTCTAGGGGGGCTGGGAGTGGGGGGGTTAAAGGGGTGGGTGAGATGCCACAGCCCTTGAATAACCACAGGGTGTGTTCAAAGTGTCCCTACAACGTCATTTGTACCTCCTATCTAAAGTAAGATTATTAAAATTGGTCACACGTTTTTCATACTGTGCTTTAGATACGAAAATCACGATTTGTCGCACAACAAGTCTATCAAAGAAGTCCAGACGAAAGTAACGTCGCATTTAACCCAACCCCACTTAGATTATTTTCTTCTTTGGAGCAACCTTCTAACTATGGAAAGTAGTTCCAATAAAATGTCTAAGTCAATCAAACAAATATACACAGTCAGTCCAGAAATGAGGTTTTATACATTTTTATATAGATATTTTTTTGTAAACATTGGCTTGCAGAGAATCGTCAGGTCGGTGTATTATTAACTTGAAAATTACGCACGTTGGTGATGACCAAAATGGCCTCTATGAACACACGTTTGAAAAACCACATTCCAGTACCAGTCTGACAGTGTCAGACATCGCCGAAAATAACTATATCGTGGTTAGTACGGACACCAGACCTGCCGTAGCCACGGGATTCGTTACTGAAATTTCCCCCACTAAAATCAGTATACTTCTGGACAGGTACCACCCCCTTGGCCACTCTAACTTCACCTAAGCGCCTCTTCGTTTTAGAAACCTTACTAAAAAATACCCACAACATTCCTTCCATCTGGACACTTACGACACCAACATCACCTACAGCTTCAACATGACCAGTTTATCTCTCCTGCTCGAGGACACCCCAAGGGCCGCTGAACTCCGCGACATCATAATAGACAAAAAAGCGCCCACATTTGTAGCCAAACTGCCGTCGGCGGTGGCCAAACGCGGCGCTTCCATCCTGAAAAGACTGAACGTGGTGCAGCAGAGAGCGGTCCTGAAAGCCCTCTGCGCCAACGAGTTCCTCCTGATTAAGGGCATGCCGGGAACGGGTGAGTCGTCACTCCAAAATCTAGACAAACTCAAACTGTTGTTACAATAGGCAAAAGTGCCACGATTGTCGCCCTCATCCAGCTCCTCCTAGCCCTAAACAAAAGCGTCCTAGTCACAAGCCACACTCACTCAGCTATCGACAACATCTGCATCCGCTTGCAGCAACGCGGAGTCGATTTTTTACGCCTGGGGTCTGAAAGCAAGATCGACCCTAGTGTGAAGGCGAACTCTGAGGCGACGCTGACCAAAGACTGCACCACACCGCAACAAATGGAAGAAGTGTATAGTAGATACGTGAGTACGACAGTTGTCTTGTGTCTTTCATGGGTTAAGTGTTATTATTGTTTTTTAGAATGTAATCGCGGTTACTTGTTTGGGGTCTGGGCACCCTTTGCTCTCTAAACGCACCGTGGATGTTTGTATCGTGGATGAAAGCACCCAGGTGGTGCAAACGTCGGTGTTGAGACCGTTGCACGCAGCTAAAACTTTTGTTCTGATTGGGGACCCGCACCAGTTGGCGCCTGTGGTCAAGAATCGGGCCGCTTCGTAATAAAGTCGTTATTGTGGTTTCGTTTGGCTATTTTTGAGTTTTAGGGAGGCGGGGATGTCGGAGAGTTTGTTTGAGAGATTGGAAAATTCGGATGGGATAATAGCGCTTAATTTGAATTATCGGATGAATCGGACCATTACGGACCTGGCTAACGTGTTGACGTATAATGGGGAGCTGAAAACCGCGACGGACGAGGTGGCCATGAGGACTTTGCAAATTCCGAATTTTGAGGTTATGTAGTTTTTAGTTTGTTTGAATTTTTTCTCAAGATTGTAATTCTGACCCTTATTGACATATTTAGATGAGTTTACATATTTTATTTAACTAAGAATATTGTTGAAATCGTAATAACCAAATGGATTTTTTTCGGGACAACGTTTTGGAAATACTGTGTTCTATGTATTTGGATGATTTTTTTTTATATATATTTTTAGTGACAATTTTTGTGGTTGTTTTTGATGCACTGTATGATATTAACAGTGAGAAAAAAAAATGAAAAATTAAAATAATCGAGAAATCGAAACTCCCAAATTTAAAAAATCGGATAACTGAAAAATCGAAACATCGAAAAACCGAGAAATCGAAAAATCAAAAGACCAAGAAATCGTGGGGTCGAAAAGTCGAACAATTGAGAAACCGAAATAGGCCAAAATGGAAAAGTTAAAAATCTCGATAAATCGAAAAATCAAAAAACTTAAAAATTCGAAAAATTGAAAAATTGAGAGATTGAAAGATCAAAAGAACGATAAATCGAAAAGTGATGAAGTCGAAAATTCGAAAAATAGAGAAATCGACAAACAAAAAGTTAAAAGTTGAAAAACTGGAAAAGCGGAAAATTCAAAAAACGAAATAGGCCAAAATAAAAAATTGAAAAACAGATCATCTAAAACCAGGAAGTCGAAAAATCGAAACCTACTGAAAAATTAAAATATCAAAAAAAAATCTAAAATTTAAAAATCTAAAAATTTAAAAATCGATAAAGTAAAAAGGTAGACACATCGAAAAATCCAGAAGTCAAAAATAGAAAAGCCGAAGAATTGAAATATTGAAAAATCCTAAAACTGAAATATCTAAAAATTGAAAAATCGAAAAATCAAAAAAGTGAAGTCGAAAAATGGAAACCTTAAAAAATCGAAAAATTGAAAAAATAAAAAACCTGAAAAATCAAAACATTAAAGAATTGAAAAAGAGGAAAATCGAAACCCTCCAAGGTCAATAAATGGGAAAATCAAAACATCGATTAATTGAAAAGTGGAAAAATTGAGAGTTTATGAAAGTCAAATTTGGAAAATTAAAAAATCGAAAATTTGACAAAATGACAATTGAAAAACAGAAAATCCAAAACGGGGAAGTGGAGAAATCGAAAAACCTAAAATTTTAAAAATTGAAAACTTAAAATGTCGAAAAGTTGAAAGATTGTGAAAACCGAAAATTCAAAAAACAAAAAATTGAAAATCCAAAAAGTAAAAAGTCGAGAAATCGAAAAATCACAAACGTGAAAAATCCAAAGTCGAAATACTAAAAAATTCCAAAATTGAACGAAATATCCAAAAATTGGGAAATTAAAAAATTGAAAAATAAAATTGGGAAATCGAAAAGCCGAAAAATTGCAAACTTAAAGAATCGAAAAATTGAAAAATCTGGAACCTGAAAAATCGAAAAATTGAGGAACTGAAAAACTGAAAAATCGAAACCTTGACAAGTCGAAAATGGGAAAATCAAAAAATAGATTAATTGAGAAATCGGAAAACTGAAAATTCAGAAGTGGCAAAATTTGAAAATTTTAAAAATTGGAAAATTGAAAAATCGGAAAATTTAAAAATCGAAAAGCCGAAAAGTAAAAAAACGAAAAAGCGATAAATCGATAAAAAATTCAAAAACTGAGACAATCAAAACATCGAAACATCCGAATCTCGATAAATCGAGGTCTCAAAAAATTGAAAAAGCGAAAAATAAAAAATTCGGAAAAACGAAAATTTAAAATATACAAGAACTGAAACCTCGAAAAATTCAGAAATCGAAATATATATTAAACATTCAAAAATTGAAAAATCTAGAGTTTAAAATACGAAAAAGTGAAAATCCAAAAAATAAAAAATCGAAAAGTCGAAAAATAGATATATTGAAAAATCCCAAAACTGAAACAAATATCCAAAATTGAGAAATTAAAAAATGAGTCAACCGAAAAATCCAAAAATCGAAGAATTGAACAACTGTAAAATCGAAACTGCGAATTCGAAAAAAGGGAAAATCAAAAAAAATATATTAATTGAAAAATCGGAAAACTGAAAATTTAGCGACGTAAAAATTTGAAAAATTCGAATATAGAAATACTGAAGAACTGGAAAATCAAAAATCCCGAAATCGAAAAATCTAAAATTTAAAAAGCTACAATTGAAATATCGCAACATCAAAGAATCAAAAAAGAAAAATTCGAAAATCTAAAACTAAAAAATCGACAAATCGAAACTCCAGAATTTAAAAAAAAAACGAAAAATCGGATAACTGAAAAATCGAAACATCGAGTAATAGAAAAAAATTGAGAAATTGATAAATCGAGAAATAAAAAAAATTGAAAAATTTTAAAAAAGAAAAATTAAAACATCGAAAAGTTGAAAAAAAAATTAGAAATTGAAGTATAAAATTGGCGAAAATTTGAAAAATCTAAAGTTTAACGATAAATTGAAAATCCATAAAGTAAAAAAGGGGTGGAAACCCAAAAACTGCAAACTGAAAAATTTTAAAATTGGAAAATCGACGAATTGGAATCGATTTGCCTGAAAATTTGAAAAATTGGGTAAACGAAAAATTGGAAAATCGAAAGAAACAACAAAAATTAAGGAAATGAAAAAACATAAAATGTGATTTAAAATCGAGAAAATGAAATTAAAAAATCCGGAAAATGCAAAATAAAAATCGAGGAGTTGAAAAATTGAAGGGACGAAAAATTGAAAGGGGGAAAAATAAAAAATCGAAAAAGTGTATAATAAAAACTTGAAAAAGGTAAAAAGTGAAAATCAAACTTGAAAATTTGAAGAAAAATTGAAAAAACCTGAAAATTTGAAAAATTGAATAACGGAAAAATTGTAAAATCGAAAGTAACAACAAAAAATAAAGGAAATGAAAAACGAAAAATTGTGATACAAAATCGAAAAACTGAAAATTAAAAAATCGGGAAAATGAAAAATTAAAATCGGAAACAAAAACTTGGAAAAAGTAAAAAGTAAAAATTGAGAAACTGAAAAATAGAAAAATGAAGAACTGTAATATTTAAAAATTGCCAAATTGAAAAACTGATGCAAACCAAAAAATTGAAAATTTTGGAAGTCGAGAAATTGTAAAATTGAAAAATGTCAAAAATGAAAATCAAACATGAAAATTTGAAAAATCGAAAGGAACAAGAAATAAAGGAATTGAAAAAATGAAAATTTGTGACAAAATTGAGAAAATGAAAATTAAAAAAAGCGGGAAAATGAAAAATTAAAATCGAGAACTTGAAAAATTGAGGAAACAAAACATTGAAAATGACAAAAATTAAACACTGAGAATGTGAAAAATCGAAAAATGAGAAACTGTAATATGGAAAAATTGCAACTCGAAAAATTGAAAAATTTAGAGTCAAGAACTGTAAAATTGAAAAATCAAAAATAAAAAAACGAAAAAGTATATAATGAAAACTTGAAAAATGTCAAACATAAAAATTTGAAGAAACGAAAATTTGAAAAATCGAAAGATTAACGAAAATTGAAAATCCATAAAGTAAAAAAAGGGTGGAAACCCAAAAACTGCAAACTGAAAAATTTTAAAATTGGAAAATCGATGAATTGGAATCGATTGGCTTGAAAATTTGAAAAATTGAATAAACGAAAAAATGTGATATAAAATCGAGAAAATGAAAAATAAAAAATCAGGAAAATGCAAAATAAAAATCGGGGAGTTGAAAAATTGAGAGGACGAAAAATTGAAAAAGGGAAAAATAAAAAAACGAGAAAGTGTATAATTAAAACTTGAAAAACGTAAAAAGTGAAAATCAAACTTGAAAATTTGAGGAAAAATTGAAAAACTGAAAATTTGAAAAATTGAATAAACGAAAAATTGTAAAATCGAAAGAAACAACAAAAAATAAAGGAAATGAAAAACGAAAAATTGTGATATAAATCGAGAAAATAAAAATAAAAAATTCGCCACATTGAAAAATAAAAATCCGGAACACGAAAAATTGTGGAAACGGAAAATTGAGAAACTGAAAATTCGAAAAATTGAAGAAACGAAAAAATTGAAAAATCGAAAGAAACAAAAAATAAAGGAATTGAAAAAATGAAAATTTGGGACATAAAATCGAGAAAATGAAAATTAAAAAAATCGGGAAAATGAAAAATTAAAATCGAGAAAAATTGAAAAATTTTGAAGTCAAGAAACTGTAAAATTGAATAATCAAAAATGAAAATCAAACATGAAAATTTGAAGAAACGAAAATTTGAAAAATGGAAAGATTAAAACTTGAAAAACTTAAAATTTGAAAAATTGAATAAATAAAAAATTGTAAATCGAAAGAAACAACAAAAAAATAAAGGAAATAAAGAACCCAAAAATTGTGATATAAAATCGAGAAACGTCGAGAAAACAAAATTAGTAATTTCCGGATGGATCTCTTTACTGCGTTATCAGCAAAAAAATCTCTATAAATCGAATCTTACAATTATCTGACAAAACTGAATATGTTATACCGGATTTCAAGAGCGACGAAAGTGCTGTCTAAATAACTGTAGACCAATTTTTATAATTCAAAAATTTACATAGTATCAACAATAAAACACCGATACAAGACGAGTATAATTGGTTGCATAAACATATTTTTTATTTTTATACACAGACAGTCCAAACGCTTTACAAAGACCACCCCTGGCTCCTAAAAGCCTTGAACACCTCCCTGGAAACCGCCGTCCAACTCATCGACACGGGACCCGTGTGGCAGCTCCCCCACGACGTCAAGTGGAACTCAAAAAACCTCAAATTCACAAAAGATTACGACCTCCAAAACTGCCTCAATATCCACGAAGTAGCAATCGTAGTAACCCTAGTTAAGGCTTTATTAAAGGTAAGTCGACTCTTGGAAAGCACGAATGATCAACAGTGCCCCACAGGGCGGCGTACCCGCCAGCAGCATCGGCGTAATCGCAACCTATAGGGCCCAAGTGGCTCAAATCTCGCAGTATCTCGAAGAAATGAACGTCGAAGTGAGCACGGTCGACCAGTTCCAAGGACGCGATAAAAACGTGGTGATTTATTCGTGTACGAAGTCGGCAGATGGCGCCAAAGGGAGCAAAGACACGTCAAGGGTAAACAAACTTAAAACGTCACTAGTGTTCAACTTTTTTGTGTATTTTGTAGTTCGAAATATTAGAGGACAAAAGACGTTTGACTGTGGCCATCACGCGAGCCAAACGCAAACTGTTAATAGTCGGTGACGTCACAACCCTCCAAAGACTGTCAACTTTCTCGAAAATCCTGCCGGCGCTCGAGAAAAACACCATCAAGTTCGATTCTTCGTGGTCAGCGGTGTTCAATTCGCTTCATTAAGATTTTTTACGTTTTATACTGATTCAAATAAAGTAATGTTATTTTTATTTGCTGAATTGAGTCTGATACATAAAACAGAGTGTCTAAATAGACTTGTAAACTACGAAGCATTCATAATGCCCCTTTAAAACAATCGCTAAATTCACACAGTAAAGATAAAATTAATACAATCTTATTTTGAAGGCATGAGAGCGCGCAAATCTCCAGGCCAGCACATGGTGATGCTAATATTTCGCAAACAATACAGCAAGACCGACATTATTTTAAAATTAACATCTTGATCCTTCCCCGCTTGAATCGCCAAATGGGGCAACTGCTCCTCTTTATTTTTTTCGTTAACCTCACAAATGCATTTTCGCAGCTCCTCGAAATCCACACCGTTGCCGCGCCGAGCCACACACCCATACAACACGTAATCTTCATTCTCTTTGTGCTTTATCAAGCACCCAGAGCTTTTCCGACTCCTGCGGAAACTTTCCGCGAAGTCGACGAATTTCCGCATCAAGCTGCTCATTTCTTCGGTAAACTCACCATCGGTGGACGTTAGGTAAAGAATGATGGTTTTCTTCTTGATTTGGTGGATGGCGGATCTTGAATGGTTTAATTTACACTTGTTGTGTGTCAAAAGGGAGACATCGTTAACTGGTTTGAAAGTTGTAGCGGTCATTTCAATCTGTCGTTTTCCCAGAAGATACTGGAACATGCTTTTGACGTCAGACCACGATATTTCGTCATCACTGGTGGGTTCTAGAACCGGTATGGATAGTTTTTTCACGAATTTGGAAAATTAAAAAATCGAAAATTTGACAAAATGACAATTGAAAAAGAGAAAATCCAAAACGGGGAGTCGAGAAATCGAAAAACCTAAAATTTTAAAAATAGAAAACTTAAAATGTCGAAAAGTTGAAAGATTGTGAAAACCGAAAATTCAAAAAACGAAAAATTGAAAATCCCAAAAATAAAAAGTCGAGAAATAGAAAAATCACAAACGTGAAAAATCCAAAAGTCGAAATACTAAAAAATTCCAAAATTGAAATATCCAGAAATTGGGAAATTAAAAAAATGGAAAATTGAAAAATCGAAAAGCCGAACAGTAAAAAAAACGAAAAAGCGATAAATCGAAAAATCGAAAAATTCAAAAACTGAGACAATCAAAACATCGAACAATAAAAAATTCGGAAAAAGGAAAAAAATACAAGAACTCAAAACTCGGAAAATTCAGAAATCGAAATGTATATAAACCAGTGGAAAATTGAAAAATCTAAAGTTTAAAAAACGAAAAAGTGAAAATCCAAAAAATAAAAAATCAAAAAGTAGAAAAATCCCAAAACTGAAACAAATATCCAAAATTGAGAAATTAAAAAATTAGTCAACCGAAAAATCCAAAAATTGAAGAATTGAAGAACTAAAAAATCGAAACTGCGAATTCGAGAAACGAAAAAATAAAAAAAAATAATTGAAAAATCGGAAAACTGAAAATTAGCACCGTCAAAATTTGAGAAATTGTGAAATAGAAATACTGAAGAACTGGAAAATCAGAAAATCCAGAAATCGAGAAATCTAAAATTCAAAAAACATTGAACAATTGAAATATCGCAAATTTGAAAAATGCAGAAACCCAAACATCAAAGAATCAAAAAAGAGAAATTCGAAAATCTAAAACTTAAAAATCGACAAATCGAAACTCCAGAATTTAAAAAAATTGAAAAATTGGATAGCTGAAAAATCGAAACATCGAAAAATTGGAAAATCGAAAAACCGAGAAATCCAAAAATCGAAGCATCGAGAAATAGAAAAAATTTGAAAAAAGAAAAATTAAAACATCGAAAAGTTGAAAAAGCTAAAGTTTAACGAAAAATTGAAAATCCATAAAGTAAAAAAGGTGTGGAAACCCAAAAACTGCAAACTGAAAAATTTAAGAATTGGAAAATCGACGAATTGGAATCGATTGGCCTGAAAATTTAAAAAATTGAATAAACGTAAAATTGGAAAATCGAAAGAACCAACAAAAAATTTTGGAAAAATTGATGAGACGCAAAATTGAAAAAGGGAAAAATTAAAAATCGAGAATGTGAAAAATGGAAAAATGAGAAATTGTAATATTGAAAAATAAAAAATCGAAAAAGTGTATAATAAAAACTTGAAAAACGTAAAAAGTGAAAATCAAACTTGAAAATTTGAAGAAAAATTGAAAAAAAACCTGAAATTTTTAAAAATTGAATAAACGAAAAATTGTAAAATCGAAACAACAAAAAATAAAGGAAATGAAAAACGAAAAATTGTGATGTAAAATCGAAAAAGTGAAAATTAAAATCGGAAACAAAAAATTGGAAAAAGGAAAAATTAAAAATTGAGAAACTGAAAAATGAAGAACTACAATATTGAAAAATTGCCAAATTGAAAAACTGATGCAAACCGAAAAATTGAAGGAACGAAAAATTGAAAAATTTAAAAGTCAAGAAACTGTAAAATTGAAAAATCAAAATAAAAAAACGAAAAAGTATATAATGAAAACTTGAAAAATATCAAACATGAAAATTTGAAGAAACGAAAATTTGAAAAATCGAAAGGTTAAAAATCGAAAAACTTAAAAAATTTTAAAATTGAAAACTTAAAATGTCGAAAAAGTTGAAAGATTGTGAAAACCGAAAATTCAAAAAACGAAAAATTGAAAATCCAAAAAGTAAAAAGTCGAGAAATCGAAAAATCCAAAAGTCGAAATACTAAAAAATTCCAAAATTGAACGAAATATCCAAAAATTGGGAAATTAAAAAACTGAAAAATTGGGAAATCGAAAAGCCGAAAAATTGCAGACCTAAAGAATCGAAAAACTGAAAAATCTGGAGCCTGAAAAATCGAAAAATTGAGGAACTGAAGAACTGAAAAATCGAAACCTTGGTCAGTCGAAAATGGGAAAATCAAAAAATAGATTAATTGAGAAATCGAAAAACTGGAAATTCAGAAACGGCAAAACTTGAAAATTTAAAAAATTTGAAAATTCAAAAATCGAAAAGCCGAAAAGTAAAAAAACGAAAAAGCGATAAATCGAAAAATTCAAAAACTGAGACAATCAAAATATCGAAACATCCGAATCTCGATAAATCGAGTTCTCAAAAAATTGAAAAATCGAAAAATAAAAAATTCGCAAAAAAGAAAAATTAAAATATACAAGTACTGAAAACTTTAAAATTTCAGATATCGAAAGATGTATAAAACAGTCGAAAATTGAAAAATTTAAAGTTTAAAAAACGAAAAACTGAAAATCCAAAAAATAAAAAATCGAAAAGTCGAAAAATAGATATATTGAAAAATCCCAAAACTCAAACAAATATCCAAAATTAGTCAACCGAAAAATCCAAAAATCGAAGAATTGAAGAACTGAAAAATCGAAACTGCGAATTCGAGAAACGGGAAAATAAAAAAATATATATTAATTGAAAAATCGGGAAACTGAAAATTTAGCAACGTCAAAATTCGAAAAATTGGAAAATAGTAATGCTGTAGAAATCGAAAAATCTAAAATTTTATTAATATCGCAAAATTGAAAAATGAAGAAACCCAAACATCAAAGAATCAAAAAAGAAAAATTCGAAAATCTAAATCTTAAAAATCGACAAATCGAAACTCCAGAATTAAAAAAAAATGAAAAATCGGATAACTGAAAAATTAAAACATCGAAAAGTTGAAACAAAAATTAATTGAAGTATAAAATTGGCGAAACTTTGAAAAATCTAAAGTTTAACGAAAAATTGAAAATCTATAAAGTAAAAAAGGGGTGGAAACCCAAAAACTGCAAACTGAAAAATTTAAAAATTGGAAAATCGAAAGAAACGACAAAAATTAAGGAAATGAAAAAACAAAAAAATGTGATTTAAAATCGAGAAAATGAAATTAAAAAAATCCGGAAAATGCAAAATAAAAATTGAAGAGTTGAAAAATTGAGGGGACGAAAAATTGAAAAAGGGAAAAATAAAAAATCGAAAAAGTGTATAATAAAAACTTGAAGAACGTAAAAAGTGAAAATCAAACTTGAAAATTTGAAGAAAAATTGAAAAACACCTGAAAATTTGAAAAATTGAACAAACGAAAAATTGTGATATAAAATCGAAAAAGTGAAAATTAAAAAATCGGGAAAATGAAAAATTAAAATCGGAAACAAAAAATTGGAAAAAGTAAAAATTAAAAATTGAGAAACTGAAAAATCGAAAAATGAAGAACTGTAATATTGAAAAATTGCCAAATTGAAAAACTGATGCAAACCGAAAAATTGAAAATTTTGAAAGTCGAGTAATTGTAAAATTGAAAAATCAAAAATAAAAAACGAAAAAGTACATAATGAAAACTTGAAAAATGTCAAAAATGAAAATCAAACACGAAAATTTGAAAAATCGAAAGGAACAAGAAATAAAGGAATTGAAAAAATGAAAATTTGTGACATAAAATCGAGAAAATAAAAATTAAAAAAAGCGGGAAAATGAAAAATTAAAATCGACAACTTGAAAAATTTGAGGAAACAAAAACTTGAAAATGACAAAAATTAAACACTGAGAATGTGAAAAATCGAAAAATGAGAAACTGTAATATCGAAAAATTGCAACTCGAAAAATTGAAAAATTTAGAGTCAAGAAACTGTAAAATTGAAAAATCAAAAATAAAAAAACGAAAAAGTATATAATGAAAACTTGAAAAATGTCAAACATAAAAATTTGAAGAAACGAAAATTTGAAAAATCGAAAGATTAACGAAAAATTGAAAATCCATAAAGTAAAAAAAGGGTGGAAACCCAAAAACTGCAAACTGAAAAATTTTAAAATTGGAAAGTCGATGAATGGGAATCGATTGGCTTGAAAATTTGAAAAATTGAATAAACGAAAAAATGTGATATAAAATCGAGAAAATGAAAAATAAAAAATCAGGAAAATGCAAAATAAAAATCGAGGAGTTGAAAAATTGAAAAAGGGAAAAATTAAAAATCGAGAATGTGAAAAATGGAAAAATGGGAAAAGTGTATAATAAAAACTTGAAAAACGTAAAAAGTGAAAATCAAACTTGAAAATTTGAAGAAAAATTGAAAAACACCTGAAAATTTGAAAAATTGAATAAACGAAAAATTGTGAAATCGAAAGAAACAACAAAAAATAAAGGAAATGAAAAACGAAAAATTGTGATATAAAATCGGGAAAATGAAAAATTAAAATCGAGAACTTGAAAAATTGGGGAAACGAAAAATTGAAAATGACAAAAATTAAAAACTGAGAATGTGAAAAATCGAAAAATGAGAAACTGTAATGTCAAAAAATTGCAACTCGAAAAATTGAAAAATCAAAAATAAAAAAACGAAAAAGTATATAATGAAAACTTGAAAAATGTCAAAAGTATGAAACATGAAAATTTGAAGAAACGAAAATTTGAAAAATCGAAAGATTAAAACTTGAAAAACCTAAAATTCGAAAAAGTGAAAAATAAAAAAAAAAGAAATATGTATTGAAAAATCAAAACCTGAAAATTTGAAAAATTGAATAAATAAAAAATTGTAAATCGAAAGAAACAACAAAAAAATAAAGGAAATAAAGAAACCAAAAATTGTGCTATAAAATCGAGAAACGTCCGAGAAAACAAAATAGCAAAAAAAATCCCTAAATCGAATCTTACAATTATCTGACAAAACTGAATATGTTATACCGGATTTCAAGAGCCACGAAAGTGCTGTCTAAATAACTGTAGACCAATTTTTATAATTCAAAAATTTACATAGAGTATCAAAAATAAAACACCGATACAAAACGAGTAAAATTTGAGTAGCTCCAATGCATGTATAATTGGTTGCATAAACATATTTTTTATTTTTCTACACAGACAGTCCAAACGCTTTACAAAGACCACCCCTGGCTCCTAAAAGCCTTAAACACCTCCCTCGAAACCGCCGTCCAACTCATCGACACGGGACCCGTGTGGCAGCTCCCCCACGACGTCAAGTGGAACTCAAAAAACCTCAAATTCACAAAAGATTACGACCTCCAAAACTGTCTCAATATCCACGAAGTAGCAATCGTAGTAACCCTAGTTAAGGCCTTATTAAAGGTAAGTCGACTCTTGGAAACCACGAATGATCAACAGTGCTCCACAGGGCGGCGTACCCACCAGCAGCATTGGCGTAATCGCAACCTATAGGGCCCAAGTGGCTCAGATCTCGCAGTATCTCGAAGAAATGAGCGTCGAAGTGAGCACGGTCGACCAGTTCCAAGGACGCGACAAAAACGTGGTGATTTATTCGTGTACGAAGTCGGCAGATGGCGCCAAAGGGAGCAAAGACACCTCGAAAGTAAACATACTAAAACATTGTCACTAGTGTTCAACTTTTTTGTGTATTTTGTAGTTCGAAATATTAGAGGACAAAAGACGTTTGACTGTTGCCATCACGCGAGCCAAACGCAAACTGTTAATAGTCGGTGACGTCACTACTCTCCAAAGACTGTCAACTTTCTCGAAAATCCTGCCGGCGCTCGAGAAAAACACCATCAAGTTCGATTCTTCGTGGCCAACGGTGTTCAATTCGCTTCATTAAGATTTTTTACGTTTTATACTATTCAAATAAAGTCATGTTATTTTTATTTGCTGAATTGAGTCTGATACATAAAACAGAGTGTATAAATAGACTTGTAAACTACGAAGCATTCATAATGCCCCTTTAAAACAATCGCTAAATTCACACAGTAAAGATAAAATTAATACAAAATCTTATTTTGAAGGCATGAGAGCGCGCAGATCTCCAGGCCAGCACATGGTGATGCTAATATTTCGCAAACAATACAGCAAGACCGACATTATTTTAAAATTAACATCTTGATCCTTCCCCGCTTGAATCGCCAAATGGGGCAACTGCTCCTCTTTATTTTTTTCGTTAACCTCACAAATGCATTTTCGCAGCTCCTCGAAATCCACACCGTTGCCGCGCCGAGCCACACACCCATACAACACGTAATCTTCATTCTCTTTGTGCTTTATCAAGCACCCAGAGCTTTTCCGACTCCTGCGGAAACTTTCCGCGAAGTCGACGAATTTCCGCATCAAGCTGGTCATTTCTTCGGTAAACTCACCATCGGCGGACGTTAGGTAAAGAATGATGGTTTTCTTCTTGATTTGGTGGATGGCGGATCTTGAATGGTTTAATTTACACTTGTTGTGTGTCAAAAGGAAGACATCGTTAACTGGTTTGAAAGTTGTAGCGGTCATTTCAATCTGTCGTTTTCCTAGAAGGTACTGGAACATGCTTTTGACTTCAGACCACAATATTTCGTCATCAGTGGTGGGTTCTAGAACCGGTATGGATAGTTTTTTCACGTAGTTTTTGCTAGCGTGGTCGTGCAGTTTCTGGATGGCGGAAAAAACTGCCCGTGACGTCACGGGTTTGTTTGGAGGACTGACGATTAAGCAGTAGAGGAAGTTGCTTCCTTCTTTGACGCACGCCAAGCCTCCACTTGGTTGTTTTTGGTTGAGGAGTTTACCAATGTGGGGGGAGATATCCTCTCTGAAAATTATTGTTATATGAATGTGTGGGGAGTGAATGGGTTATTAAGTACCCTGGGGCCACGCCGCTGGGTATGATTAGGTCTTCTCGGGCGAAGCACACTCGAGAATATTGTTTGGGAAGATCTGAACTTTCCTTCAGTGAGTCAGGTATACTGCCACTCTCCAAATCCCGCTGGAATGACTCGTATTCGTTATCTTGGGTGCGTGGGGGGGCTTGGGTGAGTTTTTCCATCTGGGGTTGTTGGTATGAAGGTTTCTGTAAAATAATATGGGTTAAGGGGGAACGCTAGACTAATATTCGAGATAATTATTATATTATATTTTTCAAACACGATTTAGACACTGTAGAGCAAACAAGGCTTATCAAGCCCGTCCATTAGTTTATTCGCCTAAATGTATTATTAATACCGTTTTCAAATTACACCAAAATTGAAAAATTGAAAAATCTATAAATCGAGAAATTCAACAATCTAAAAATTAAACAATTTAAAAATCGAAGAATTGGAAAACCAAAAAATCTAAACCGAGAACTTGAAAAATCGAATAATCGAGAAATCAAAACATCAAGGAAAACAATAAAATTAACGGAAAATCTAGAACTTAAAAATTGAAAAATTAAAATACCTATCGAAAAATTGAAAAACCGAGAAATCGAAACATCAAAAAATGGAAAAATTGAAGAACCGAAACATTGCAAAATCTCAGAACTGAAATACTGAAAAACTGAAAAATGGAAGGAAAATTGAAAAATCGAAAAAGTGAAAAAATTCAAAACTGAAATCTTGAAAAACTGAAAAATGGTAAGAAAATTGAAGAATCGGAAAAGTGAAAAAATCCAAAACTGAAACATTGAAAAATCCAGAAATCGAAAAACCGAAAAATCACAATTGAAGAAAGAATTGAGAAATCAAGAAATAGAGAAATGGGAAAATCAAAAAATCAGTTAATCGAAAAATTGAAAAATCGTAAAACTGAAATATCGGAAAGTTAATAAATTAGAAAACTGAAAATTTTTGAAAAAAAAATCGTATCAAAAACTAAAAATTCAAAAAATCGAGAAATTGAACAACCAAAAAATCAAAACATTGAAATCCCAGTAAGTTGATAAATAGGAAAATTTAAAAAACAAAAATTTTAAAAATCCAAGAATTGAACAACAAAAAAAATCTAAGCCTGAAAACTCACAAAATTGAATGATCGAGAACAAAAAATCTAAAATTTAAAAATTCGACAAATTGAAATATCATGGAACTGAAAAATCGAAAAGTCGAGATAGTGAGAAATCTAAAAACCTGAAACTTTAAAAACTGAAAAATTAAAATATCGAAAAATTTAAAAACCGAGAAAACACAATTTCAAAAATTTGAAAAATTGAAGAAACGAAATATTGCAAAATTCCAAAGCTGAAATATTGAAAAACCTAAAAATGGAAGGAAAATTAAAGAATCGAAACAGTGAAAAAATCCCACACTGAAACATTGAAAAATCCAGAAATCGAAAAATTGAAAAATCACAATTGAAGAAAGAATTGAAAAATCAAGAAATAGAGAAATGGGAAAATCAAAAAATCAGTTACTCGAAAAATTGAAAAATCGTAAAACTGAAATATCGGAAAGTTAATAAATTGAAAAACTGAAAATTTTTGAAAAAAAAAAATCGTATCAAACACTAAAAATTCAAAAAATCGAGAAACTGAACAATCAAAAAATCAAAACATTGAAATCCCAGTAAGTTGATAAATAGGAAAATGTAAAAAACAAAAATTTTAAAAATCCAAGAATTGAACAAAAAAAATCGAAGCCTGAAAACTCAGAAAATTGAATGATCGAGAACAAAAAATCTTAAATTTAAAAATTCGACAAATTGAAAAATCATGGAACTGAAAAATCGAAAAGTCGAGATAGTGAGAAATCTAAAAACCTAAAACTTTAAAAACTGAAAAATTAAAATATCGAAAAATTTAAAAACCGAGAAAACACAATTTCAAAAATTTGAAAAATTGAAGAAACGAAATATTGCAAAATTCCAAAGCTGAAATATTGAAAAACCTAAAAATGGAAGGAAAATTAAAGAATCGAAACAGTGAAAAAATCCCAAACTGAAACATTGAAAAATCCAGAAATCGAAAAATTGAAAAATCACACTTGAAGAAAGAATTGAAAAATCAAGAAATAGAGAAATGGGAAAATCAAAAAATCAGTTACTCGAAAAATTGAAAAATCGTAAAACTGAAATATCGGAAAGTTAATAAATTGAAAAACTGAAAATTTCTGAAAAAAAAAATCGTATCAAACACTAAAAATTCAAAAAATCGAGAAATTGAACAATCAAAAAATCAAAACATTGAAATCCCAGTAAGTTGATAAATAGGAAAATGTAAAAAACAAAAATTTTAAAAATCCAAGAATTGAACAAAAAAAATCTAAGCCTGAAAACTCAGAAAATTGAATGATCGAGAACAAAAAATCTAAAATTTAAAAATTCGACAAATTGAAAAATCATGGAACTGAAAAATCGAAAAGTCGAGATAGTGAGAAATCTAAAAACCTAAAACTTTAAAAACTGAAAAATTAAAATATCGAAAAATTTAAAAACCGAGAAAACACAATATCAAAAATTTGAAAAATTGGAGAAACGAAATATTGCAAAATTCCAAAGCTGAAATATTGAAAAACCTAAAAATGGAAGGAAAATTAAAGAATCGAAACAGTGAAAAAATCCCAAACTGAAACATTGAAAAATCCAGAAATCGAAAAATTGAAAAATCACAATTGAAGAAAGAATTGAGAAATCAAGAAATAGAGAAATGGGAAAATCAAAAAATCAGTTAATCGAAAAATTGAAAAATCGTAAAACTGAAATATCGGAAAGTTAATAAATTGAAAATCTGAAAATTTTTGAAAAAAAAAATCGTATCAAACACTAAAAATTCAAAAAATCGAGAAATTGAACAACCAAAAAATCAAAACATTGAAATCCCAGTAAGTTGATAAATAGGAAAATGTAAAAAACAAAAATTTTAAAAATCCAAGAATTGAACAACAAAAAAAATCTAAGCCTGAAAACTCACAAAATTGAATGATCGAGAACAAAAAATCTAAAATTTAAAAATTCGACAAATTGAAAAATCATGGAACTGAAAAATCGAAAAGTCGAGATAGTGAGAAATCTAAAAACCTAAAACTTTAAAAACTGAAAAATTAAAATATCGAAAAATTTAAAAACCGAGAAAACACAATATCAAAAATTTGAAAAATTGAAGAAACGAAATATTGCAAAATTCCAAAGCTGAAATATTGAAAAACCTAAAAATGGAAGGAAAATTAAAGAATCGAAACAGTGAAAAAATCCCAAACTGAAACACTGAAAAATCCAGAAATCGAAAAATTGAAAAATCACAATTGAAGAAAGAATTGAAAAATCAAGAAATAGAGAAATGGGAAAATCAAAAAATCAGTTACTCGAAAAATTGAAAAATCGTAAAACTGAAATATCGGAAAGTTAATAAATTGAAAAACTGAAAATTTAAAAAAAAAAAAATCGTATCAAACACTAAAAATTAAAAAAATCGAGAAATTGAACAATCAAAAAATCAAAACATTGAAATCCCAGTAAGTTGATAAATAGGAAAATGTAAAAAACAAAAATTTTAAAAATCCAAGAATTGAACAAAAAAAATCTAAGCCTGAAAACTCAGAAAATTGAATGATCGTGAACAAAAAATCTAAAATTTAAAAATTCGACAAATTGAAAAATCATGGAACTGAAAAATCGAAAAGTCGAGATAGTGAGAAATCTAAAAACCTAAAACTTTAAAAACTGAAAAATTAAAACATCGAAAAATTTAAAAACCGAGAAAACACAATATCAAAAATTTGAAAAATTGAAGAAACGAAATATTGCAAAATTCCAAAGCTGAAATATTGAAAAACCTAAAAATGGAAGGAAAATTAAAGAATCGAAACAGTGAAAAAATCCCAAACTGAAACATTGAAAAATTGAGAAAAGGAAAAATGGGAAAATAAAAAAAATTGGTCTAAAGAGTTTAAAATCTGCGCCCTCTAAAAAAATTCTATGATGGTTATGACTCAAAAAACTTGAAAAGAAAACATACAATGGTGCTTTTTTTACGATATTTCTCAGCTATATTTTTTTAGTTGATTGAACTGGTCTCTGCGCTCTAGAATATGAAAAAAGCTGCAGTTTGATGTATGATACATCTATATTAATATCATTTTTTCATACAAAAAACCAAAAAAATGTTATACCTCGTCTAGCGAGTCCCCTTAATGTGTTTTTGAAGTGTTAATCAAAATATTACCTGATACGAATCCTTTGATCCCCAATTATTGCTTTGCGACGACGAACTCATCACTTGCCTTTCTGGCGTCTTATTCTCATTTTCAGCCTGTAAATCAACACACATTGAAACACTCCATTTATTAAAAATAAGTTTAAATCATACAAATACTTACTTTGTTTGAATCACATTCCATTGAAAAATTCTGACTTTCAATTTCTGACTTACTCTAGCAAAAATAGTTTAGCACATATAAAAATAAAAAAAAAAAGACGAAACTTACTTCAGACCAATAATCGTCACATTCCCTGCTTTGTTCTAAATTCACAAATGAAGAATCACGTTCTTCGCTCTAGGAAAAAATATGGTATGAACAAAAGCCAAGAAAGACGTTGAAAAAAAGACTTACTTCTAACCAAGAATTACTGTAATATCCGCTACACTCTAAACTTCCCAATGAAGTATTCTGTAGACTGTCATTCAACTTGGGAGTTGAATAATTCTAAGACAAAAAAAATCAGGAAACGAGTTGAACCAAATAAACTAGGTACTACAAAGAGGAAAGTCGAAAGGGCACGAAGAATCAGAAGAAGTAGTGAAAATGACTGTGTCTACAAAAACATCAAGAACTACAAGTAGCGACCAATCAGGGACGACCTTTACACAATCAACCACCAGGGGCGGCTCATGACTTGGAAAGTTGATGAGGCAAAGCACAAAACGCTCCAAAATATAAATAATCAAGATTACTTAAATATTTTCTCAAGCGCCAAATTTAAATAGTCGATACAAATAAAAAAACTTGTTTCACTACAACTAGTCGCCTGAGAACTTGTTTGATCTACAGGCCAGAGAGCGCTCAGGCCAATGTCGACTCTAAGCGTTCAGAAGCGATTTGGTTGGTTTGGACTATAATTTCTGCGGGGAATAGTTGTTTGGTCGGTTTTTATAACGACTAAGTGAATATTTTTGGTACATATTTTGCTTCACTACGAATTAATTCTTTATTTGTGTTTTATACAGCAAAACGTCTTAAACTAAGAATATTGTTGAAATCGTAATAACCCAATGGATTTTTTTCGGGAAAATGTTTTGGAAACACTGTGTTCTATTTTGTATGAATTTTTAAATGTTTTTAGTGACAATTTTTGTATGATATAAACAGTGAGAAAAAAAAATGAGAAATTAAAATATTCGAAAAATCGAGAAATCTAATAGAAAAATCGAAACATTCAAAAATCTAAAATTTAAAAACCGAATAACGAAAAATCGAGAAATCGAAACCCCCAAATTTAAAAAATCGGATAACTGAAAAATCGAAAAATCAAAAGATCAAGAACTGGTGGAGTCGAAAAGTCGAACAACTGAGAAACCCAAATAGGCCAAAATCGAAAGGTTAAAAATTGAACAATTTATAAATTGAGAGATTTACAATCAAAATATCGAAAAATCCAAATCTCAATAATTCAAAAACTTAAAAATTTGAAAAATTGAGAGACTGAAAGATCAAAAGAACGAGAAATCGAAAAGTGATGAAGTCGAAAAATTGAGAAATCGACAAACAAAAAGTTAAAATTTGAAAAATTGGAAACGCAGAAAAATCAAAAAACTAGAAAAACTGAGAAACCGAAATAGGCCAAAATAAAAAATTGGAAAGCTGATAAATCGAAAACCTGAACAATCAAATCTCGATAAATCTGGAATGAAAAATTGAAAAACAGAACATCTAAAACTAAGAAGTCGAAAAATCGAAAGATTGAAAAATTAAAATATCAAAAGATTGACAAATCTAAAATTTAAAAATCCAAAAATTGAAAAATCGAAAAAATAGTAAGGTAAATCCAGAAGTCAAAAATAGAAAAGCCGAATAATTGAAATATTGAAATATCCTAAAACTGACATCTAAAAACTGAAGAATCGAAAAATCAAAAAAGTGAAGTCGAAAAATAGAAACCTTAAAATATCGAAAAATTGAAAAATCAAAAAGCTGAAAAATCAAAAAATTAAAGAATTGAAGAACAGGAAAATCGAAACACTCGAAGGTCAAGAAATGGGAAAAATCGAAACCTTGGCAAGTCGAAAATTGGAAAATCAAAAAATAGATTAATTGAGAAATCGGAAAACTGAAAATTCAGAAACGTCAAAACCTGAAACTTTAAAAAATTGGAAAATTGAAAAATCGAAAAGCCGAAAAGTAAAAAAAAACGAAAAAGCGATAAATCGAAAAATTCAAAAACTGAGACAATCAAAACATCGAAACATCCGAATCTCGATAAATCGAGTTCTCAAAAATTTGAAAAATCGAAAAATAAAATATACGGAAAAAAGAAAAATTAAAATATACAAGAACTGAAAACTCTAAAATTTCAGAAATCGAAATATGTATAAAACAGTCGAAAATTGAAAAATTTAAAGTTTAAAAAACGAAAAACTGAAAATCCAAAAAATAAAAAATCGAAAAGTCGAAAAATAGATACATTGAAAAATCCCAAAACTGAAACAAATATCCAAATTGTAAACTTGGAAAATAGAAATATTGAAGAACTGGAAAATCAAAAAATCCAGAAATCGAAAAATCTAAAATTTAAAAAACATTGAACAATTGAAATATCGCAAAATTGAAAAATGGAGAAACCCAAACATCAAAGAATCAAAAAAGAAAAATTTGAAAATCTAAAACTTAAAAATCGACAGATCGAAACTCCAGAATTTAAAAAAATTGAAAAATTGGATAACTGAAAAATCGAAACATCGAAAAATTGGAAACTCGAAAAACCGAGAAATCAAAAAACATCGCAAAATAGAAAAAATTGAGAAATTGATAAATTGAGAAATAAAAAAAAATGAAAAATTTTAAAAAAGAAAAATTAAAACATCGAAAAGTTGAAAAGCCAAAGTGCAAACTGAAAAATTTAAAAATTGGAAAATCGACGAATTGGAATCGATTGGCCTGAAAATTTGACAAATTGTTAAACGAAAAATTGGAAAATCGAAAGAAACAACAAAAATTAAAGAAATGAAAAAATAAAAAAATGTGATATAAAATCGAGAAAATGAAATATAACAAATCAGGAAAATGCAAAATAAAAATCGGGGAGTTGAAAAATTGATGAGACGCAAAATTGAAAAAGGGAAAAATTAAAAATCGAGAATGTGAAAAATGGAAACATCGATTAATTGAAAAATCAAAAAATTGAGAGTTTATAAAAGTCAAATTTGAAAAATTAAAAAATCGAAAATTTGACAAAATGACAATTGAAAAACAGAAAATCTAAAACCGGGAAGTTGAAAAATCGATAGATTAAGAAATCAAAACATTTGAAAAATTCGATTGAACTGAAATGAAAAATCGAAAAATTGAAAAATCGAAAAGTCTAAGAATCGAAATATGTATTGAAAAACCCCAAAACTGAGATATCGAAAAACTGAGAAGAACCTAAAAAGTCGAAAAACTGAGCAATCAAAAAATCCAAAAAGTGAAGTCAAAAAATCGAAACCTTAAAAAAAGTAAAATAGAAAAATCGAAAAATTAAAGAATTGAAGAACAGGAATATCGAAACCCTCGAAAGTCAAGAAATGGGAAAATCAAAACATCGATTAATTGAAAAATCGAAAACTTGACAGTTTATAAATGTCAAATTTGAAAAATTGGAAAAACCACAATTGAAAAAGAGAAAATCTAAAACCGGGAAGTCGAAAAATCGATAGATTAAGAAATCAAAACATTTGAAAAATTCGAAAACATGAAAAACGAAAATATCGAAGAAAATTGTAGATATTGAAAAATTAAAATATCAAAAAACTGAAAAATCTAAAATTGAAAAAACGACAATTGAAAAACATAAAATCTCGAAAAATTGAAAGATTAAGAAATCGAAACATTTGAAAAATTGAAATATGGAAGAGCTGAAATGAAAAATCGAGAAATCGAAAAATCTAAAATTTTAAATATTGAATTAAGAAATCTAAAATTTAAAAATCGAAAAAGTAAAAAGTCGAGACATCGAAAAATCCAGAAGTCAAAAATGGGAAAGTCGAAAAACAGAAATTTTGAAAAATCCCAAAACTGAAATATCCAAAAACTGAGAATCTAAAGAATCGAAAAATTGAGAAACCGAAAAATCAAAAAACCTGAAACATTAATTAATTGAAAAAACGAAATATTTAAAAATCGTAAAATTGAAGAGAAAAACTGAAAACCGAGAAATTGAAACATTGAGAAATTGTAAAACCCAAAAATTGAATAATAAATAGGAGTAAACTGAAAAGTCCCCGAACTAAAATTACGAAAAACTGAGAATTCGAAAGTTGAAACAGCAAGAAATTAATGGTCGAAACCGGTTAGGATGTGTATCAAATCACGGATCATGGCTTATAAATCAAATCATTTCCGAACGCTTAGAGTCGACATTGGCCTGAGTGCGCTATGGTCTGTAGATCAAACGAGTTCTCAGACGACATAATACATGTGTTGAGTGTTCAAGCGCGCTGTTTAGTTTAGGGAGTAGCGCGTACCTACCGAGATAAAAATAACAATACATATAATTTTCCATATTTATTTTTAAAATTTTTGAAAAAAATAACACAAATTATTGGCCGAAATGTGTCGATAAAAAATAATAAAAAAAAAGCGTAAAATTCATTGGTGAGGCATTGCCTCACCTGCCTCATAGAACAAGCCGCCCCTGCAACCACTTCTCCACACACACTTTAACATTTGTTCCTACTTACTTGGAACCAAGCACTGTTGCTCTCCAAGTCTTCTCCCATTGAAACAGAACTCACGAACGATTCGTCCAGCTGGCTGTCGTTCGCCCCACTCCCACTTCCCTGCGGTTGTGGCGTCCAGACATTACTACTTTGTGTCTTCTCGCTGCCACCACTCTCATTGAAACTCTTCTCCCCATCCCTCCAATTCGTGGCAAAACTCTTCTCCTTGGGCTTCCACTTCTCGTCACTCTTATCATCCACAAACCGGTCTCTGGGGGCCATCTCGGTCTGCAAATCCCCAGGCCAGCAAACGTACACTTCCACCTCCCTCAAGCTATTCCTCAAAATATTGATAATCTTGTAGTTAATGCAAGCATCAGTTTCATCCCTCATCGCTTGAAAAGCGTAATAGTAAAATTTACTTTTCCTATTTTCTTTCTGTATGGCGGAAAGACACTTCTGCAAAGCGATAAAATCAAACGGGTCTCGCTCAGTCTTCTTGACAATGCAGCCACAAATCAAATAATTTTGATTCCTAGTGTACAAAATAACGTTCCCTTTGATCTTCTTGGCGTATCGGAAGTCCGAAAGAAAATGAAACTTCTCATCGAGCTTGCGCATTTCGTCGGAGACGTGTTCATCTTCAGAGGAGAAGTACAAGATGACGGTGCCGGTCTCGATAGTTTCGATGGCGTAAGTCTCGTGGATGACTCTGCAGTTTCGGTGTCTTTGTTGGGGGGAAGCTTCTTCAGTCTACACAAAACAACAACAACAAGAATCAGTAATGTGTTGCTAGTTTTTCGTTTTTTTTACGAACCGGCTCCAGGTTGCAGACGACGATCTCCACGTCCACGTCCCTGAACACGAACTCCACCATGAACTTCACGTTGGGCCAGTCGAGCCTGTCCAGTCCGCAGCCGATTCTGGGCATGGCGATCTTCTCCACCCGCTTTTCCACCACGTGCTTTTTCAGACACTTCAGTGAGGAGAACAGGGTGGCGTAGGTGGGTTTGCCCGTGGAATATGTCTTCGTCACTAGGTAGTAGATGTAGCGGTCTTTGTCCGTCAGAATGGCCAGGCCGCCTTTGCTTTGATACTGGTTGAGGAGGTCGTCAACGCGTTTGAACTTATGCCTGGAAATTTCAAAAATTGTATTTATGTATTGTTGTAAATATTTTTGGGTTTTGTTTTCGTACCGAAACTGCACTGCAATTCCGCTCCCCATGTTCATGTCTTCTGCTACGCAGTGGGCCAAGGAGTATTCCTCCGGGACGTCGAATAGGTCGCTGAAGACTTCCTTGACTTTGGTGTACTCTCCGATGTGGCCCTTGTGGGACAAGAACTCGTCTTCGTATTGGAGGAACTCGCTGTCTTGGTGGAAACTGGGTCGGTATTTTTTTCTGTTCTGTAAAAAAGATACAAAATTTAAAAAAAATCTACTTCAAAATTTTTTTTTTAATTGTAGGTTTGCTGAATTTTTCAAGTTCTTGATTTTATATTTTTCTTTTTTCAGGATTTTTTAATTTTCATTTTCTCCATGTTATACAACAATTTTTCGTTTTTTCATTTCCTTTATTTTTTCAAGGTGTCGATTTCTTTATTCAGTTTTCAAATTTTCAATCTTTGATTTTTTAATTTCCCAGTTTTCCAATTTTTCAATTTTTGGTTTTCTAGTTTTCAGATTTCTTTAATTTTCAATTTCTAAGCTTCTTTATTTTTTTTATCTTCCGATTTTTCACTTTTTCTTGTTTAGTTTTTGATTCCAAGTTTTAGATTTTTCAATGTTTACATTTCATTATTTATTTTGATTTTTTCATTTTTGATGTTTCAGTTTTCTAATTTTGCAATTTTTCCACTTTTTTATTTGAAAAGTTGTAAAATCGAAAATTTATGAAATCGTCAAAATTGTAAAATCGAAAAACTGTAACACTGAAACATCGAAAAATTGAAAAATTAAATGTCGAGACATTATTGAAAATGGAAAAATCAAAAATCGAATAAATGAAAAAAATTTATAATACAATAATTAAAAAATGGAAAAATTGTAAAAAGTTAAATTGAAAAAGTAAACAATTTTAAAAATCATTTAATATTAAATACGTAATATGTATGTAATATTAAATAGTACTTGCCAAAATAAGACTGTTTTTGAGAAATGATAAAGTATGGGTGGGTGGGCGGGGCTAGTACTTCCCAAAATAAGACTGACTTCTCCATTTTTCAATTTTACGATATTTTAATTTTTCAATGTTCTAATTTTAGATTTTTTGATTTTTCAGTTCTTTGAATTTTTAAGTTTGCGATTTTTCGACTTTGGTTTTTTGACTTTTCGATTTCTCAAATTTTCGATTTTTTAATTTCCCAATCTTGTGATTTTTTCAGTTTTTCGATTCTTCAATTTTTCTTCTAAATTTCAATATGAGTTTTGGGATTTTTTAGTATTTGGATTTTTCGATTTATCGACTTTTTACTTTTTGGATTTTGAATTTTTCGTTTTTTAAACTTTGGATTTTTCAATGTTTCGACTCGTTTATACTTCGATTAGTCAATTTTTCAAGTTTTGAGAGTTTTTTAATTTTCGATTTTCCATTTTTTAAAATTATTCAATTTTTCAATTATTTTTTGATATTTCAATTTTTCAAGCATCCGATTCCTGAATTTCCAGATTTTTAAATTTTAGATTTCCCAATTTTTATTTTTTTGATTTTTTCAAGTTTGGATTTCTCGATTTTCTATTTTTTCGAAATATGAATTTTTCAATGTTTTAAATTTTACATTTTTCTATTTTCAATTTTTCGATGTTTAGATTTCCCCAGTTTTTGAGTTTTCGATTTCTGAATTTCTTCGAGATTATTAGTTTTGGGAACTTTTCAATTTCTAGTTTTTTCAATTTTTCGATTTTTAAAATTTTCGATTTAAAATGAAAACTAGAGAAACTGCAAATCAAAAATTGAAGAAAGAAAAAGTGAAATATTAAAAAATCTAATAAAAGTTGAAAAATCGAAAAACTGAAAACCGACATACTGCAAACCGAAAAATTTTAAAATCCAAAACTTGAGAAGTTTCACATTGAAAAATTATGGAATCAGAACATTGAAAAACCGAAAAATTGAAAAAAAAAAGAAATTAAAAAACCGAAACGAAAAATTGCAAAGAGAAATTTTGAATAAATGAAATTGAAAAATAAAAAATCGAAAAATTGAAAAACCCAAAATTTGAAAATTTCCATATTGGTGAAAAAAATTAGAAAATCAGAACACTGGAAATCGAAAATTTTTAAGATATAGAAAATAAAAACGGAAACGAAAAATTGAAGTTCGAAAAATTGAAAAATCGAAAAATTTTATTTTAAAAAATAAGATGTAAAAAATTCCTGAAACTGCAAATCAAAAAAGTGAAAATTTTAAAATAGTAACTCAGAAAGTTGCATATCATACAACTGAAGAAACAAAAATGAAAAATCGATTTTGAAAAAACAAAAAGTTTTAAATTCGAAACATTGAAAAATCGAATAAATGAAAAAGTTTTAAAATGCAATAATAATCGAAAAATTCTAAAATCGTAAAATTGAAAAAGTGAAATTTTTGAAATTAAAATTAATACTAGATACATATGTAAAATGAAAACTAGAGAAATTGTAAAACGAAAATTGAGGAAAAATTGAAAAATCGAGAAACCGTAAAATCTTAAATTGAAAAACCCAAAAGTTAAAAAATTGAAAACCGAAATATTGCAAATCCAAGAATTGAAAAATTTCACATTGAAAAATTATGAAATAAGGATTGAAAAAAAAAAATGAAAATAAAAAGCCGAAAAGAAAAATTGAAACATCAAAAATTTGAAAAATCGAAATACTGAAAAATTTAAAAATGAAAACTCGAAGAGTTGCAAATCCTAAAATTTAAGAAACAAAAAATCAAATTGGAAAAACAAAACACAAAACGTTCTAAAATGGGAACATTGAAAAATATGAAAATTATGAAAATAAAGAAAAAAAAGAAAAATCGCAAATCAAAATTTTGAATAAATGCAAATTGAAGAATCAAAAAATTCTAAAATACAATACATAATTGAAAAATTGCAAAATTCTAAAATAGTAAAATTGAAAAGGTGAAAAATTTTTTAAATTACAATTAAATATATATGTATTTAAAATAAAACTAGAAAAATTGCAAATCAAAAATTCAAGGAACCAAAAATTGAAAAACCTAGAAACTAAAAATTCTACAATTGACAAAACGAAAAATTGCAGATCGAAAAAGTGGAAAACCCAAAATTTGAAAATTTTCACATTGGTGAAAAGAAAAATCAGAACACTGAAAATCGAAAAATTTGTTAAATATAGAAAATAAAAAACGGAAACCAAAGTTTGCAATTCGAAAAATTGAAAAATCTAAAAATGTATATTAAAAAAAGAAAAAATTTAAAACTTGACGCTGCAAATCAAAAAAGTGAAAGTTTTAAAAATGGCAACTCGACCTTCTACCAGTTTTTTAATTGTACTGTCGAATGTTCTCTCTACATAACTTTGGATGGATCATATGATTTTGAAAATGAAAAAGAAGCCAAAATTAAAAGTGGAGTCTGAAAATTAAGAGTAAACAATAATTGCATATTTAAACAAGATCCTTCCAACTCGAAATAATCATTTAAGTAGTAATTTAACGGTCCTTTATGAAAAGCAGGTAGAGGCTTAAAAGGGATTCTCTCTGGAATGTACGTACCTCACGCTGGGAAGTTAATTATCTATGCACAGAGCTGCCTTTAATATTGTAAATATCGCCAAAAATCGTAATATTGACAAAATTTTGTTAAATGTTTCGCTTTGACGTTTCGTAAGGTCAATTTTGGCACCAAAATTAGTGCGCTTGTCTAATTTTTTTTGGCGCCGATTACCACCTCTGACTTTTTTCTAAATTTCAGTTCATCAGATACTTGCACTTTGCATAATCCAACAGCACCCGAAAATTACCAAAATGAAAACTGGGCGCTAAACGATAAATAAACTCAAAGTAATACCAACTCAGATTAAAAAATCGCGAGAATTCCTATATGATATCGAACGATAATTTCCACATCCTGTTTATCAATGCACTTACGCTTCAATTATTATTACAGACATTCCGCGTTATCAAACACTCCACTATCTTGCATTCAAGATGCAACTTAAAGCGCGTTAGTAACGCATATTTACTTTCGTTATCTACTTACATTAGAATTATCTCTTGGTTTTCCTCTACCACGGTCGTTGTCGTTCAAAGAATACCTTTTCGTATCCGTCCTTCTATCCCCTTCATACTCCCTATTACCCCGATTTGGCTCACTTTGTCTGGGTTTGTAAAAACCACCATTATTTTCTCTTCTATTCTCACTTCGCGTATTATCTTTCCACGTGTCACTTTTTGTAAAAACATCGTTATCTTTAGTTTCTTTTTGGGTCGAAACGTCACCTGGGGACCGATTTCTAGTCGGGTGCTCCGCTTTAGACGCATTTTCCACTATTGCGTCATCACTAGCTTGACCTTTGGCGTTGCCACCGTCCACGGTGGCTTTACCTTTCGACTTTTTTTTGCTCTTACCCCCCATTACACTGCGATCCAACTTAATCTGCAACAACGAAAACACACACAATTAAAAATTTCAAATAAACACAAAAATTGAAAAAATGAAATACCCTTTTCGCTAAATGAACAGACGCCACCTTGACTTGTGCTTACACCGCCGCTGTCCACGAAACACTGGGAACCCCCTAATCTCCACCCGAAATCCCCACCGCGCCGCCACCCCCTCCCCGCGCAGTTCCCTGCTTTACCGGCCCGCATCCGCTCGGTCGGTAACGCAATGACCACTAAAATCTCTTTTTTCAGCATCTGAAGGCGAAACGCACCCAATCACGACCTAATCAGCCTATTTATACGCAAGTGAGTCACACTTTTTAGTTTATTTACCTATCAGATAGCCCCACTGTTGTTCGTCGGCGCGGATAAATTGCGAAAGGCCACATCAGTTTTACCGACAGTCGCCATAAAAGTCACTCTTGGCTGTCAAAGTTTCGCAGTATAACCTCAAAACGAAAGGTTGAGATGAGTCTCCAGTGGACCCTAATCGCCGGCTTCCTCTACGTCGAGATCGCTATAGTGCTGCTGCTGGTGCTGCCGGTGGCGAGCCCCAAGCGGTGGAATGCGTTTTTCAAGTCGAGGTTCCTGCAGGGGCTGCAGAGACAAGCGGGGATTTATTTCTTGATTCTGCTGGCGATCCTGGTGTTGGTCCTGTTGGACGCGATCAGGGAGATGCGGAAGTACTCGCAGATAGGTGAGTGGGTTGGGGTTGTGGGTGCAAGTGCATAGAGTGCAGGCGTTGGCTGGATGTATGCAACTTGCGATGCATCAGCAAGAAATGCGAACTCAAAATTCATGGAATTTTTAATAATTCGCAAATCTTGATGTGATTGCAGCAGTTGATACGGCTTGATAAAAATAGATAATTTTGAGTATTCTAAGAAAAATGATGCACAGAAAGTTTTCCAGAGTAGAAGTCATAAAGTACGTGTTCTTTGTTTATTAGGTCATTTACAAAATGGGGTCACACATGCACATGCAGAACTGAGGTGGCCGTTTTTGCGAAGGCTTTGAGTTTGACTTTTTTTATTTTTAAGTTAGGTTAAATTGTGGTAAAAAGTGTCATTTACAATGTCACCGCGAAAATGCCACAGGAAATTCTAAATTACATACTTAACGACGAAGTAGTGGTGCAATAATATTGATTATGTGTCAGGAATGAGTAATTTGAAACGTATCTTCGGGTTCAAGGTGACGTGAAAAATTCTGCTCTATTGACTTGATTTATGGTCTAATAAATCCCACAGTGGATTTATAATTTTGACTCCTCCACTACCCTTGGACACAAATAAAGGTTTACTACCTGAAAATTTACAACACCGTCTTAAAATCTTTTTAAGGGATACCTGTCAACTGGTCTAATAATCAGGTATTGAGTAGCTGACGGCCACGAGTGTAATTTTTTTTAGCACTTTAATTCTTGATACCTGTTGCAACACAGTTCCTTTTTTTTTTTTTTTTTTTCCTTAAGGAATTCCCCCGTCCCTCAACAATATTCATACCGTTATCTTTACGGAACCAGAAGTTTTGAGAGTACTTCCAGTCCTTTAAATTGGACCCCTGTCCTGGACCAGACGGTTTTCATCCTATTTGACTAAATAAATGTGCTTCAGTTCTATCTAAGCCAGTCGCTGCAATAATGCAACAATCACTTTCTGTAGGTTCTGTACCAAATGTTTGGAGGTCTGCTACAGTTATTCCAGTCTATAAAAAAGGCGATAAGCTTAATTCAGCAAACTTTCAACCTATTAGTTTAACATCGTTGCTTTGTAGATCTATGGAAAAAATAATTGCCCAACACCTAACTGAGTTTTGTGTAAACATTATCCTCAAGCCCAACCAGCATGGTTTCCTTCACGGTAGATCCACAATATTTAACCTTCTTGAGTGCCTTAACAAGTGGACCAAGGCTGTAGACAATTTGCCAATTTTGATCATTACTGTTTTCATATATATTTACATTATTACTTCCCGAGCGTAAGCAAAGGAAGTATTGTAATCGAGTCCGTCGGCCGACTCTCTACTTTTACGTTTTCTCGATCTTTCATGACCCCTAGAAGACGAAGAAATAGGTCTCCCATTTCCGTCTGTCTGTCCGTCTGTCCGTCCGTCTGTCCGTCCGTCTGCCGTCCCGGATTTTTATTAGACAGATAATCTTCGAAAGTACTCGACCGATTGTTGTGAAATTTTGTACTTATTTTAAGAATATCATGTAGATGGTAAAACGCTAACCAAAATTTGTCTAATCATCCCCACCACTAATGCGATGACGTCACTTCAAAATTGTACATAGTAAATGGGTTTTCAATTGTATAAAATAACATAGTCCTACACATGTAGTTTACAACTCCGAATTGACTTTTCACCCGAAACGTCCAGATTTTTGGAAAAAAAATCAAAATTATAAAACAACATTTTGAAATTTAATTTTTAATCTGCTAACCAGAATGCTTTGAAATGTTGCAGATGTTTTAAGGCTATAAAGATCATCATAAATCTTTAGTCAAAAAATATTTGCTTATCCCCTCCAAAAACTTGATGACGTCAGCTCAAAAGTTTGTGGAATAAATCACATCTAAAATGTACAAAATATGATGAGTCTGTACTTGTGATCTATCACTCCATTCATATTTTTTGGATTTGCATATACAGGGTGACTCAAAAAAATTAATGAATGCGTAAATATATTTTATTGATTTAATCAGGAACTACAAAACCGAATGCTCTGAAATCTTGCAGATGTTTTAAGGTCATAAAGAGCATAATAAATGTTTAGTCAAAATATATTTGCTTATCCCCTCCAAAAACTTGATGACGTCAGCTCGAAAGTTTGCCGAATAAATCATATCTAAAATGTACAAAATATGATGAGCCTGTACTTGTCATTTATCACTCCATTCATATTTTTTGGATTTGCATATACAGAGTGACTCAAAAAAATTAATGAATGCTTAAATATATTTTATTGATTTAATCAGGAACTACAAAACGGAATGCTCTGACATCTTGCACATGTTTTAAGGTTATAAAGAGCATAATAAATGTTTAGTCAAAATATATTTGCTTATCCCCTCCAAAAACTTGATGACGTCAGCTCGAAAATTTGCCGAATAAATCATATCTAAAATGTACAAAATATGATCAGTCTGTACTTGTGATCTATCACTCCATTCATATTTTTTGGATTTGCATATACAGGGTGATTCAAGAAAATAAATGAAAGCGTAAATTTATTTTACTGATTTACTCAGGAACTACAAAACCGAATGCTTCGAAATCTTGAAGATATTTTAAAATTATCATAAGCATGGTACATTTTTTATCAAAACGTATTTGGTCGTCCCCCCTAAAAAATTTATGATGTCACCACAAAATTTTGCTGAAAAAATCCTATCTAAAATGTACAAAATATGGTGAGTCTCTTCTTGTGATTTATCATTCCATTCAAATTTTTTCGATTTGCATATACAGGGTGACTCAAAAAAATTAATGAATGCGTAAATTTATTTTATTGATTTAATCAGGAACTACAAAACCGAATGCTTTGAAATCTTGCAGATGTTTTAAGGTTATAAAGAGCATAATAAATTTTTAGTCAAAATATATTTGGTTATCTTCTACAAAAAACTGATGACGTCAGCTCAAAAGTTTGCCGAATAAATCGTATCTAAAATGTACAAAATATGATGAGTCTGTACTTGTGATTTATCATTCCATTCATATTTTTGGATTTGCATATGCAGGGTGACTCACAAAAATTAATGAAGGCGTGAATTTATTTTATCGATTTAATCAGGAATTACAAAACCGAATGCTTTGAAATCTTGGGAATATTTTAAAGTTATTATAAGCATGGTAAACTTTTGTTCAAAATGTATTTGTTCATCCCTCCTAAAAAAATTGATGACGTCACCCTTAAATTTTGCTGAATAAATCCTATCTAAAATGCAAAAAATATGATGAGTTTGTACTTGTGATTTATCATTCCATGCATATTTTTTAGGTTTTCTTAAGAGGTGGTTCAAAAAAATTAATGAAGTCAATTTATTTTATTGATTAAATTAAAGGCAACACTTATTATTAGTATTACACCCCAACCAACCCAATTTGGTAGACACAAAATTTGTTAAAGGAAAAACTCGGTTGAAACATAAGGGTAGCACGCTTATTTACATCGACTTTAACATTACAGACCTGCATTTGTTTTATGCGTTCACTTGATTCCGCGAATGTGAAATAGACATGTTTATAATCAACCAATTGTGAATTTCACCGTCAAGAATTAAAATAAAACCCAATGTTTTATATAATAAGCGGAAGTCGAAGCAATAAAACCGACGGTCGTTTTGTTTACAGTTTCTCTGTTTGGCTCTCGCGTATGCTGTTACGCCTGTCATCTTAAATTAAGAATGTTTATACATACACGATTTTCAGTTGTTTCTGATACGTATACGTGAGTAAATTGTTTCGTTATTTTATTGATTATTACAAATCAATATTCAAAACGACCCAATTCATTTTCCCGAAAATTTGAGAATATAATAATTTTATTCTTAGTATTACACTACATCTATCCCAACTGATATACGTGTCCTTGCAAAAATGTTGATGACGTCATCGCAATTTTTTTTTAAATTCCCACTACAAAATGTAATGAGAAAAAAACACAATAGGCATGCAGTCGTCAAGTTTCCGAAAGCGAGGGAAGTACTGTCTTAACTCTTTAGACCAATTTTTTTGTATTATTACATGCTCTGACATTGTGATTACTTACTTCAATTTAATAATAATAATAATAATGCCTCCGTAAAACAATCATTAAATTCACACAGTAAAGATAAAAAATAAAATTATTTTGAAGGCATGAGAGCGTGCAGATCTCCAGGCCAGCACATGGTAATGCTAATATTTCGCAAACAATACAAGACCGACATTATTTTAAAATTAACATCTTGATCCTTCCCCGCTTGAATTGCCAAATGGGGCAACTGCTCCACTTTATTTTTTTCGTTGACCTCACAAAAGCATTTTCGCAGCTTTTCTAAATTCACACCGTTGCCGCGCCGAGCCACATAACCATACAACACGTAATCTTCATTCTCTTTGTGTTTTATCAAGCACCCAGAGCTTTTCCGACTTCTGCGGAAACTTTCTGCGAAGTCGATGAATTTCAGCGTCAAGTTGGTCATTTCTTCAGTGAACTCACCATCGGTGGACGGTAGGTAAAGAATGATGGTTTTCTTCTTGATTTGGTGGATGGCGGATCTTGAATGGTTTAATTTACACTTGTTGTGTGTCAAAAGGGAGACATCGTTAACTGGTTTGAAAGTTGTAGCGGTCATTTCAATCTGTCGTTTACCCAGAAGGTACTGGAACATGCTTTTGACTTCAGACCACGATATTTCGTCATCACTGGTGGGTTCTAGAACCGGTATGGATAGTTTTTTCACGTAGTTTTTGCTAGCGTGGTCGTGCAGTTTCCGAATGGCGGAAAATACTGCCCGTGACGTCACGGGTTTGTTTGGAGGACTGGCGATTAAGCAGTAGAGGAAGTTGCTTCCTTCTTTGACGCACGCCAAGCCTCCACTTGGTTGTTTTTGGTTGAGGAGTTTACCAATGTGGGGGGAGATATCGTCTCTGAAAATTATTGTTATATGAATGTGCGGGGAGTGAATGGGTTATTAAGTACCCTGGGGCCACTCCGCTCGGTATTAGGTCTTCTCTAGCGAAGCACACTCGAGAATATTGTTTTAGCAGATCTGAACTTTCCTTCAGTGAGTCAGGTATACTGCCACTCTCCAAATCCCGCTGGAATGACTCGTATTCGTTATCTTGGGTGCGTGGGGGGGCTTGGGTGAGTTTTTCCATCTGGGGTTGTTGGTATGAAGGTCTCTGTAAAATAATATGGGTTAATGTGTTTTTGAAATGTTAATCAAAATATTACCTGAAACGAATCCTTTGATCCCCAATTATTACTTTGCGACGACGAACTCATCACTTGCCTTTCTGACGTCTTATTCTCATTTTCAGCCTGTAAATCAACACACATTGAAACACTCCATTTATTAAAAATAAGTTTAAATCATACAAATACTTACTCTGTTTGAAAAGCAAAATTTTTCAAAATTTTTTGTTAAAATTTCGGCCAATTTCCGACAATTTTCAAAATTGAACCAGACAATTTCTTATAGATTTCCACCTCTAGAAGTTAACTAGGACCGAATTTTTTCGATATCTCCTATCATTTTTCCACTGAAATTGTGCAACTTTTTGGATTTCAAAAATTTTTTATTATCAAAGCGAATATTTTTTACTCTTGGACCCGGAACATAAACATACCAAATTTTTGGAATCAGCACGACAAATTCTATACCCCAGAATTTTTTGTAAATTTTTGTCAACTTTTGAAGTCAAATTTTTCAAAAATGTTTTGGAAATTCCGGCGAATATCCTACATAAATCGAAATTTAACTCAACTAAAGACATTTTCTTACAGATTTAGACCTCTAGAAGTTAGTTTCCACACCATTTTTTCGATAGTTCCTACCATTTCTAAACCCCCATTCAAATCGAATATTTTTAAAATCTTATAGCGGAACATCTTTTTGGAATCAGTATAACGAAATCTACATCCCAAAATTTTTTGGAAATTTTTTGGCAATTTTTTCAAAAGCAAAATTTTTCAATTTTTTTTTAATTTCGGCCAATTTCCGACAATATCCGAAATTGAACCAAAGACATTTTCTTATACATTTCGACCTCTAGAAGTTAATTTCAACCGATTTTTTTCGATATCTCCTACCATTTTTCCAGAATCTCCCACTGAAACAGTGCAATTTTCTGGATTTCAAAAATTTTTTATTTTAAAACCGAATATTTTTAACTCTTGGACTGGAAACATAAAGATGCCAGGTTTTTGGCATCAGCACGACAAAATCTATACTCCAGAATTTTTTGGAAATTTTTCCCAACTTTTGAAGCCAAAATTTTCAAAAATTTTCTGGGTCAATTTCGGCGAATATTCTACAATATTCGAAATGTATCTAAACCAAAGACTTTTTCTTATAGATTCCGACCTCCAAGAGCTTGTTTCAACCCCATTTCTTTGATAGCTCCTTTTTTCCAGAATCGCGCCCACGGAAGTTTTGCAATTTTTTGGACTAAAAAAAATTTCAAACTTAATATTTTTAAATCTTGGAGTGGAACATGTTTTTGGACCCCGTACGACGAAATCTACATCCCAGAACTGTTTGGAAATTTTTTGGCAACTTTTTGAAAAACAAATTATATTGGACAAAATTTTTTTAAAATTTTGTCCAATAGCCAACAAGTTGATTTCAACCCCACTTCTTTGATAACCCCTTTTTTCCAGAATCATCCACAGAAGTTTTGCAATGTTTTCGATTTGAAAAAAATATTTTCAAACCCAATGTTTTTAAATCTTGCAGCCGAACGTGTTTTTGGAATCAGTACGACGAAAACTATATCCCAGAATTTTTTGTGAATTTTTTGTCAACTTTTTCAAAATCAAAATTTTTTAAAAATTTTTTGAAAATTTCCATTTTCCAACAATTTTCGAAATTTAACTAAAAACATTTTCATACAGATTTCGACCTCGAAAGTTAGTTTCAACGGGATTCTTTGATAAATGATCCTTTTTTCCAAAATCGTCCACTAAAATATTGCAATTTTTTGAATTTCAAAAATTCTTTATCTTCAAACCTAATATTTTTAAATCTTGCACAGTGAGCATAATAAATACTTTCAATTTCTGACTTACTCTAGCAAAAATAGTTTGGTATATAAAAATAAAAAAAATAAATTGCCGCATTCATTAATTTTTTTTAGTCACCCTGTATATGCAAATCGAAAAAAATTGAATGGAATGATAAATCACAAGAAGAGACTCACCATATTTTGTACATTTTAGATAGGGTTTATTCAGCAAAATTTTGTGGTGACGTCATAAATTTTTTTGGGGGGACGACCAAATACATTTTGATCAAAAATTTACCATGCTTATGATAATTTAAAAACATCTTCAACATTTCAAAGCATTCGGTTTTGTAGTTCCTGAGTAAATCAGTAAAATAAATTTTGCGCATTCATTAATTTTTTTGAGTCACCCTGTATATGCAAATCCAAAAAATATGAATGAAGTGATATACCACAAGTACAGACGCATCATATTTTGTACATTTTAGATAGGATTTATTCGGCAAACTTTTGAGCTGACGTCATCAAGTTTTTGGAGGGAATAACCAAATATATTTTGACTAAAGATTTATGATGCCCTTTAGAGCCTTAAAACATCTGCAACATTTCAGAACATTCGGGTTAGCAGATTCACAATTAAATTGCAAAATGTTGTTCTATAATTTTCATTTTTTTTCCAAAAATCTGGACGTTTCGGGTAAAAACTCAATTCGGGGTCGTAAACTACATGTGTAGGACTATGTTATTTTATACAATTTAAGACCCATTTCTATGTACAATTTTGAAGTGACGTCATCGCATTAGTGGTGGGGATGATTAGACAAATTTTGGTTAGCGTTTTACCATCTACATGATATTCTTATTATAAGTACAAAATTTCACAACAATCGATCCAGTACTTTCGGAGATTATCTGTCTAATAAAAATCCGGCACGGCAGACAGACGGACAGACAGACGGAAATGGGAGACCTATTTCTTCGTCTTCTAGGGGTCATGAAACATCGAGAAAATGTAAAAGTAGAGGGTCGGCCGACGGACTCGATTATAATACTTCCTTTGCTTACGCTCGGGAAGTAAAAAGGAACTTAAAATATTTCTAGTAGACAATGCGTTTTATAGCCTAGCAGAATTCTTTAATTGTGTTGTCTAATTACTTTCTGATGCGATTTGCGAGTGTATTGTTTTTTTGTACTTATTGACGTGTCCTATACAATGTAAATGTTGTCTTAAAGGAAATAAAGTATTATTTATTTGTTTATGTATTTATTTATTTAAAAACTACCAATCAGGGACGACCTGATTCACACGACTTTTAAACAACCAACCACTTATTCACACACAGTTTCACATTTCATCCATACTTGGAACCAAGCACTGTTGCTTTCCAAGTCTTCTCCCATTGAAACAGAACTCACGAACGATTCGTCCAACTGGCTGTCGTTCGCTCCCTCCCACTTTCCTTATTTTGTGTCTGGCTGCCACCACTCTCGTTGCAAACTCTTCTCCCCACCCCCATCTCTCCAATTCATGGCAAAACTCTTCTTCTTGGCTTCCACTTCTCGTCACTCTTATCATCCACAAACCGGTCTCTGGGGACCATCTCGTTCTGCAAATCCCCAGGCCAGCAAACGTACACTTCCACCTCCCGCAAGCTATTCCTCAAAATATTAATAATCTTGTAGTTAATGCAAGAATCAGTTTCATCCCTCATCGCTTGAAAAGCGTAATAGTAAAATTTACTTTTCCTATTTTCTTTCTGTATGGCGGAAAGACACTTCTGCAAGGCGATAAAATCAAACGGGTCTCGCTCAGTCTTCTTGACAATGCAGCCACAAATCAAATAATTTTGATTCCTAGTGTTCAAAATAACGTTCCCTTTGGCTTTCTTGGCGTATCGGAAGTCCGAAAGAAAATGAAACTTCTCGTCGAGCTTGCGCATTTCGTCGGAGATGTGTTCATCTTCAGAGGAGAAGTACAAGATGACGGTGCCGGTGTCGATAGTTTCGATGGCGTACGTCTCGTGGGTGACTCTGCAGTTTCGGTGTCTTTGTTGGGGGGAAGCTTCTTCAGTCTAAATGAAACAAATAAATCAGTAATGTGTTGCTAGTTTTTCGTTTTTTTTTTTACGAACCGGCTCCAGGTTGCAGACGACGATCTCCACGTCCACGTCCCTGAACACGAACTCCACCATGAACTTCACGTTGGGCCAATCGAGCCTGTCCAACCCGCAGCCGATTCTGGGCATGGCGATTTTCTGCACCCGCTTTTCCACTACGTGCTTTTTCAGACACTTCAGTGAGGAGAAAAGGGTGGCGTAGGTGGGTTTGCCCGTGGAATATGTCTTCGTCACTAGGTAGTAGATGTAGCGGTCTTTGTCCGTCAGAATGGCCAGGCCGCCTTTGCTTTGATATTGGTTGAGGAGGTCGTCAACGCGTTTGAACTTGTGTCTGGAAATTTCAAAAATTGTATTTATATATTGTTGTAAATATTTTTGCTTTTTGTTGTCGTACCGAAATTGTACTGCAATTCCGCTCCCCATGTTCATGTCTTCTGCTACGCAGTGGGCCAAGGAGTAGTCCTCCGGGGCGTCGAATAGGTCGCTGAAGACTTCTCTGACTTTGGTGTACTCCCCGATGTGGCCCTTGTGGGACAAGAACTCATCTTCGTATTGGAGGAACTCGATGTCTTGGTGGAAATTGGGTCGGTATTTTTTTCTGTTCTGTAAGAAAGATACAAGATTATAAAAAAAATCAAGCTTTTCAAGTTCTTGATTTCTATTTTTCATTTTCCCGATTTTTTAATTCTCATGTTCTCGATATTATACAACAATGTTTCGTTTTTTTATTTCCTTTATTTTTTCAATGCTTGCTTTTTTAATTTCCCGGTTTTCCAATTTTTAAATTTTTGGATTTCTCGGCTTTCAGATTTCTTTAATTTTCAATATTTTGATTTTACAATATTTCGTTTTTCGATTTTTAAGCTTCTTTATTGTTTATCTTTCGATTTTTCACTTTTTCTTGTACAGTTCTTGGTTCCAAGTTTTAGATTTTTCAAAGTTTACATTTTATTATTTATTTTGGTTTTTTCATTTTTGATGTTTCAGTTTTACAATTTTGCAATTTTTCCACAAGTTGAAAAATCGGAAAATTGAAAACTGAAAAATTGCAGATCGAAAAACTGAAGAAACGAAACATTGAAACATTGTAAAATTAAACATCGAGAAACGTAAAAATCGAAAAAAAAAGAATTAATCGAAAAATTGGAAAGAAAAAAAAAGAATCGAATCGAAAAATTGAAAAGCCCAAAAGTTGTAAAATCGAAAAATTATGGAATCGTCAAATCGAAAAACTGTAACGCTGAAATATCGAAAAATTGAAAAATTAAATATCGAGATATTGAAAAATCGAATATATGAAAAAGTTTTATAATGCAATAATTAAAACATGGAAAAATTGTAAAATCGTAAATGAGTTTTGGGATTTTTTAGTATTTGGATTTTTCGATTTTTCCGAGTTCTGGATTTTTCGATTTCTCGACTTTTTACTTTTTAAATTTTGAATTTTTCGTTTTTCAAACTTTGGATTTTTCAATTTTTCGACTGTTTTATACTTCGATTACTCAGGTTTTCGGAGTTTTTTAATTTTCGATTTTCCATTTTTTTAATTTTTCAATTTTTTGATATTTCAATTTATCAAGCAATTTCTCGATTTTTAAATTTTAGAATTACCAATTTTAATTTTTTTGATTTTTTCAAGTTTGCATTTCTCGATTTTCCAGTTTTTCGATATTTGATTTTTCAATGTTTTAAATTTTCGATTTTTCAATTTCTCAATTTTCAGTTCTTCAATATTTCTATTTTCAATTTTTCGATTTTAAAAATTTTTCGGCTTTTCGATTTTTAAATTTCCCGATTTTTTAAGTTTTCGATTTCTGAATTTTTTCGAGATTATCAGTTTTGGGAACTTTTCAATTTCTGGTTTTTTCAATTTTTCCATTTTTAAAATTTTGGATTTAAAATGAAAACTAGAGAAACTGCAAATCAAAAATTGAAGAAAAAAGTGAAAACTAGAGAAACTGAAAAATCTAAAATTGAAAACACGAAAAATTAAAAAATCCAAAAATTGAAAAGTTTCACATTGAAAAATTATGAAATCAGAACATTGAAAAACCGAAAAATTGAAAAAAAAAGAAACTAAAAAACCGAAACGAAACATTGAATCAGAGAAGTCAAATAAATGAAAAAGTTATAAAATCCAATAACTGAAAAAACGAAAAATTTAAAAATGGAAAAATTGAAAACTGAAAAAAAATATAAAATCAGAATACTGAAAATCGAAAATTTTTAAAATATAGGAAACAAAAAAGTGCAGTTCGAAAAATTGAAAAAATTCATTTTAAAAAATAAAAAGTTGAAAACTCCTGAAACTGCAAATCGAAAAAGTGAAAAATTTTAAAATAGTAACTCAGAAAGTTGCATATCATAAAATAGAAGAAAAAAAAAATGAAAAATTGATTTTGAAAAAACAAAAAGTTATAAAATCCAAACATTAAAAACTCGAATAAATGAAAAAGTTTTAAAATGCAATAATAATTGAAAAATTCTAAAATTCTAAAATCGTAAAATTGAAAAAGTGAAAATTTTTAAAAATTAATATTAGATACATATTTAAAATGAAAACCAGAGAAATTGCAAAAAACTTAAATTGAAAAAACCAAATATTGAAAAAAAAGAAAATAAAAACCCGAAAAGAAAAATTGAAACATTCACAAATTGGAAAATCGAAAAAATGAAAAATTTAAAAATGAAAATTCGAAGAGTTGCATATCGTAAAATTTAAGAAAGAAAAAAAATTAAAAATTGGAAAATTGCAAATCAGAAAATTGAAGAAACAAAAAATTCAGATTGAAAAAACAAAACATTGTAAAATGGAAACATTCAAAAATAGAAAAAGTATGAAAATAAAGAAAAAAAAAGAAATAAAAAACTGCAAATCTACAAAATGAAGAAACAAAAATTGAAAGAAATTGAAACCGGAAAAACGGAACATAATACATTCGGAACACTGAAAAATCGAAAAATTATGAAAATAAAGAAAATAAAAAACCGAAACGAGAAATTGCAAAGAGAAATTTTGAATAAATGAAAAAGTTCTAAAATCCAATAATTGAAAAAACCAAAAATTAAAAAATGGAAAAATTGAAAACTGAAAAACTGCAAATCGAAAAATTTAAACATCCAAAATTTGAAAATTTTCATATTGGCGAAAAATATATATAAAATCAGAACACTGGAAACCAAAAATTTTTAAAATATAGAAAATAAAAACGGAAACGAGAAATTACAGTTCGAAAAAATTCAATTTAAAAAATAAAAAGTTGAAGATTCCTGAAACTGCAAATCGAAAGAGTGAACAATTTTAAAATGGTAACTCAAAAAGTTACATATCGTAAAATTGAAGAAAAAAAATGAAAAATTGAAAAAATTGATTTTGAAAAAACAAAAAGATATAAAATCGAAACATTGAAAAATCGAATAAATGAAAAAGTTTAAAATGCAATAACAATGCAAAAATTCTAAAATCGTAAAATTGAAAAGGTGAAATTTTTTTTAAATTATAATTAATACTATTAGATACTAGAAATTGCTAATCAAAAATTGAAAAATCGAGAAACCGAAAAACCTTAAATTGAAAACTCGAAGAGTTGCAAATCGTAAAATTTAAGAAAGAAAAAAAATGAAAAATTGAAAAATTGCAAATCGAAAAATTTTAGAAACAAAAAAATTCAAATTGGAAAAACAAAACACAACACATTCTAAAACGGGAACACTGAAAAATATAAAAATTATGAAAATAAAGAAAAAAAACGAAAAATCGCAAATTAAAATTTTGAATAAATGCAAATTGAAGAATCGGAAAATTGAAAAATTATAAACCGAAAAATTGAGAAGTCGAATAATCAAAAAATACTAAAGTACAATACATAATTGAAAAATTGCAAAATTCTAAAATAATAAAATTGAAAAGGGGAAAAATTGCAAATCAAAAATTGAAGGAACCAAAAATTGAAAAACCTAGAAACTAAAAAATCTAAAATTGAAAAAACGAAAAATTGCAAATCGAGAAAGTGAAAAACCCGAAATTTGAAAATTTTCACATTAGTGAAAAAAAAAAATTATAAACTCAGAATAGTGAAAATCGAATTTTTTTTAAATACAGCGTGTTATTGAAAGGTACGTACAAAATAAAATCGGCAATTGGTCTCGAAGTATGGGTGCTAAAGGTAAAAAAAAGTTCAGGTAAATATGTTCTCCTTTTAGAGATAAAAAATAATTAAAATTTATGTCCAAATTCGTTGTACGCCTCTGATAAAAAGATCACTTTTCGTTTCTATAGCAGCATTTAGTCTTAACAAAAGTTTTATTGTTACAGTTGCTAGGATTTACTAAAATAAATTAATTTTACCTATTTATCCTTCAGTAGCGTCTAAAAAGGTTGGATAAGGGTTAATTTTCCCCTTATAATTTCGATAACACAAAATAAATTTTTCAGACTTCTTAGACTTCCTGAATAACTGTGAATTTTGTTGTAGGTAGCTTTCAATAACACCCTGTATAGAACATAAAAAACGGAAACCAAAATTTGCAATTCGAAAAATTAAGACATGAAAAATTGAAAAATCTAAAAATGTTATTGAAAAAAGAAAAATTTAAAACTCTTGAAACTGCAAATCGAAAAAGTGAAAATTTTAAAAATGGCAACTCGACAGTTGTATATCGTTAAATTGAAGAAAAAAAAATTGGTCTAAAGAGTTTAGACAGTACTTCCCTCGCTGTCGGAAACTTGACGACTGCATGCCTATTATGTTTTTTTTTCTCATTACATTTTTGTAGTGGGAATTTAAAAAAAAATTGTGATGACGTCATCAACATTTTTGCAAGGACACGTATATCAGTTGGGATAGATGTAGTGTATTACTAAGAATAAAATTATTGTGTTCCCAAATTTTCGGGAAAATGAATTGGGTCGTTTTGAATATTGATTTCTTATAATCAATAAAATAACGAAACAATTTACTCACGTATACGGCGCCGGTGTGTAATATTTAGAGAGCGGATTTCTGTCGGGCTAGGCAAGGCCAAACTCGGTACGGCTTGCACGGGATGCGAATTCATTGCCGTTGCGGACTGCACTTCGTTTATTTGAGATTAAAATAACGTTGTTTCGTTCCACTCTGCTGTTAATTCCCGTTCTCATTTACTTAGCCGTTTGATTAATAAATCGTTAATTATATTTATGGAATCCAGCGTGCTGGATTCCATAAATATAATGGGGACGTGTCCCACCCTATAATCGTGACGTAGCCCGACAGAAATCCGCTGTCTAGTAATATGAAGGGCAACTGAAAATCGTTTATGTATAAACATTCTTAATTTAAGATGACAAGCGTAACAGCATACGTGAGAATCAAACAGAGAAACTGTAAACAAAACGACCATCGGTTTTATTGCTTCGACTTCCGCTTATTATATAAAACATTGCGTTTTATTTTAATTCTTGACGGTGAAATTCACAATTGGTTGATTATAAACATGTCTATTTCGCATTCGCGGAACCAAGTGACCGCATAAAACAAATGCAGATCTGTAATGTTAAAGTCGATGTAAATAAGCGTGCTACCCTTATGTTTCAACCGAGTTTTTCCTTTAACAAATTTTGTGTCTACCAAATTGGGTTGGTTGGGGTGTAATACTAATAATAAGTGTTGCCTTTAATTTAATCAATAAAATAAATTGACTTCATTAATTTTTTTGAACCACCTCTTAAGAAAATCTAAAAAATATGAATGGAATGATAAATCACAAGTACAAACTCATCATATTTTTTGCATTTTAGATAGGATTTATTCAGCAAAAATTTAAGGGTGACGTCATCAATTTTTTTTAGGAGGGATGAACAAATACATTTTGAACAAAAGTTTACCATGCTTATAATAACTTTAAAATATTCCCAAGATTTCAAAGCATTCGGTTTTGTAATTAAATTAAATTAAATCGATAAAATAAATTCACGCCTTCATTAATTTTTTTGAGTCACCCTGCATATGCAAATCCAAAAATATGAATGGAATGATAAATCACAAGTACAGACTCATCATATTTTGTACATTTTAAATACGATTTATTTGGCAAACTTTTGAGCTGACGTCATCAGTTTTTTGTAGAAGATAACCAAATATATTTTGACTAAAAATTTATTACGCTCTTTATAACCTTACAACATCTGCAAGATTTCAAAGCATTCGGTTTTGTAGTTCCTGATTAAATCAATAAAATAAATTTACGCATTCATTAATTTTTTTGAGTCACCCTGTATATGCAAATCGAAAAAATTTGAATGGAATGATAAATCACAAGAAGAGACTCACCATATTTTGTACATTTTAGATAGGATTTATTCAGCAAAATTTTGTGGTGACATCATAAATTTTTTAGGGGGGACGACCAAATACGTTTTGATCAAAAATTTACCATGCTTATGATAATTTTAAAATATCTTCAAGATTTCGAAGCATTCGGTTTTGTAGTTCCTGAGTAAATCAGTAAAATAAATTTACGCTTTCATTTATTTTCTTGAATCACCCTGTATATGCAAATCCAAAAAATATGAATGGAGTGATAGATCACAAGTACAGACTGATCATATTTTGTACATTTTAGATATGATTTATTCGGCAAATTTTCGAGCTGACGTCATCAAGTTTTTGGAGGGGATAAGCAAATATATTTTGACTAAACATTTATTATGCTCTTTATAACCTTAAAGCATCTGCAAGATGTCAGAGCATTCCGTTTTGTAGTTCCTGATTAAATCAATAAAATATATTTACGCATTCATTAATTTTTTTGAGTCACTCTGTATATCCAAATCCAAAAAATATGAATGGAGTGATAAATGACAAGTACAGGCTCATCATATTTTGTACATTTTAGATATGATTTATTCGGCAAACTTTCGAGCTGACGTCATCAAGTTTTTGGAGGGGATAAGCAAATATATTTTGACTAAACATTTATTATGCTCTTTATGACCTTAAAACATCTGCAAGATTTCAGAGCATTCGGTTTTGTAGTTCCTGATTAAATCAATAAAATATATTTACGCATTCATTAATTTTTTTGAGTCACCCTGTATATGCAAATCCAAAAAATATGAATGGAGTGATAGATCACAAGTACAGACTCATCATATTTTGTACATTTTAGATATGATTTATTCCACAAACTTTTGAGCTGACGTCATCAAGTTTTTGGAGGGGATAAGCAAATATTTTTTGACTAATGATTTATGATGCTCTTTATAGCCTTAAAACATCTGCAACATTTCAAAGCATTCTGGTTAGCAGATTAAAAATTAAATTTCAAAATATTGTTTTATAATTTTGATTTTTTTTCCAAAAATCTGGACGTTTCGGGTGAAAAGTCGATTCAGAGTTGTAAACTACATGTGTAGGACTATGTTATTTTATACAATTGAAAACCCATTTACTATGTACAATTTTGAAGTGACGTCATCGCATTAGTGGTGGGGATGATTAGACAAATTTTGGTTAGCGTTTTACCATCTACATGATATTCTTAATATAAGTACAAAATTTCACAACAATCGGTCGAGTACTTTCGGAGATTATCTGTCTAATAAAAATCCGGGACGGCAGACGGACAGACGGACGGACAGACGGACGGACAGACGGACGGACAGACGGACGGACAGACGGACAGACAGACGGAAATGGGAGACCTATTTCTTCGTCTTCTAGGGGTCATGAAAGATCGAGAAAACGTAAAAGTAGAGAGTCGGCCGACGGACTCGATTACAATACTTCCTTTGCTTACGCTCGGGAAGTAAAAATCAAAAATTCAATAATATATAATTTTTTAAATCCTACCATCGAAAGTTCTCTCTGCATAACTTTGGATGGATCATATGTATTTTTTTATAAAATGAAAAAGAAGCCAAAATTAAAAGTGGAGTCTGGAAATTAAGAGTAAATAATAATTGCATATTTAAACAAGATCCTTCCAACTCCAAATAATCATTTAAGTAGTGATTTAACGATCCTTTATGAAAAGCAGGTAGAGGCTTAAAAGGGATAACTCTCTCTGGAATGTACGTACCTCACGCTGCGAAGTTAATTATCTATGCACAGCTGCCTTTAAAATTGTAAATAGATAAAATATTTCTCGGAAAATATCACTTTGACGTTTCGTAAGATCAATTTTGGTACCAGAATTAGTGCGCTTGTCTAATTTTTTTTGGCGCCGATTACCACCCTTGACTTTTTTCTAAATTTCAGTTCATCAGATACTTGCACTTTGTATAATCCAACAGAACCCAAAAATTACCAAAATGAAAATTGGCCGCTAAATGATAAATAAACTCAAGTAACGCCAACTCAAATTAAAAAATCGCCAGAATTCCTACAATATCGAACGATAATTTCCACATCCTGTTTATCAATGCACTTACGCTTCAATTATTATTACAGACATTCCGCGTTATCAAACACTTCACCATCTTGCATTCAAAATGCAACTTAAAGCGCGTTAGCAACTAATATTTATGTTCGTTATCTACTTACATTTGAATGATCTCTTGGTTTTCCTCTGCCACGGTCGTTCTCGTTCAAAGAATACCTTTTTGTATCCGTCCTTCTCTCCCCTTCATACTCCCTATTACCCCGACTTGGCTCACTTTGTCTGGGTTTGTAAAAACCACCATTCTTATTTTCTCTTCGATTCTCACTTCGCGTGTTATCTTTCCACGTGTCACTTTTTGTAAAACCATGGTTATCTTTAACTTCTTTTTGGATCGAAACGTCACCTGGGGACCGATTTCTAGGCGGGTGCTTCGCTTTAGCCGCATTTTCCACTATTGCGTCATCTCTAGCTTGACCTTTGGAGTTGCCACCGTCCACGGTGGCTTTACCTTTCGACCTTTTTTTGCTCTTGCCCCCCATTACACCACGATCCAACTTAATCTGCAACAACGAAAACACACACAATTAAAAAATTCAAATAAACACAAAAATAGAAAAAATGAAATACCTTTTTCGCTAAATGAACAGACGCCACTTTGTCAGTCGTGCTTACACCGTCGATGCCCATGAAACACTGGGAAGTCCCTAATCTCCACCCGAAATCCCCTCCGCGCCGCCACCCCCCTCCCCCACGCAGTTCTCTACCGGGGAACGTAGAGAAGCGACATAGAGCTGATTTTGCAAAACCGCCCTTATTGACATTGGAGTCCTCAACCGCCAAAGGCAAACGCCAAATTTAAATAGTGGATGCCAATAAAGACCTTGCTTCACTATGAATGAAAGTGAAGGAAACAGCAGTAAGCAGCTTGTAATATTCAGGTAAAGATTGTCCAGAATTATATGAATTTTATGGACTCCCAAAGTTAATTTGTTTTACAGCCCTGTTGTCAGTTTTATTGTTTAGCTGAAGAGCGGGACGAACTCAGGTCCAGCAAAGATCGGCTTTCCCCTGACAGGCTCTTTACCTGTACAATAGAATTGACGGCTGAGCTGTGAAACAAATTAACGTTGGGAGTCCATAAAATCAGTGGCGTAAATAGCACCCCCGCAGACCTCGCAATGCGGGGGGGCGCAGCGTCAAAAGGGGCGCAGACCGTAACGTAACCGATATATTTTTTTAAAATGTGCAATTTTTAAAGAAGGAGTTTTCATTGGAATTGAAAATGAGATCAGGTAAATTAATAATAGCTATTTAACGAACAAGTTTGTTAATAAAGGCGATTAATAATCGAGATATTTTAACGCGCGAGGAACGAGTTTTTATATTTTTTGGATTTTTCAATTTTTTTTATTTTCAATTTTTGATTTGCAGGTTTTCTAGTTTTCATTTTAGATATGTAATAATTATAATTTTAATTAAAGTTGTTCACTTTTTCAATTTTTCGTTTCTGGAATTTTTTAATTTTTCGATCTTTGAATGTTAGTTTTTGGACTTTACATTTTTCGATTTAATTCGTTCTTTGATTCATTAATTTTTTCTCGATTTTTAGTTTTTCAATGTTTCTATTTTTCGTTTCTTCAGTTCTACAGTTTTGTCAAATAAATGTTATATAAATTAAAAAAAAAAGTAACAGTGTACCTATGGTTTATGAATCCGTGTTGAATTTTTATCTTCGACATCGAAATTTTTGTGGAAAAATAAAACAAAATTGAATTACAATTTGTCGATTTCTTGATTTTTCGATTTTTAGTTTACTTAATTTTTCGATATTTCAGTGTTACAATTTTTCAATTTTTGCCTTTTTTAAATTTTCATTTTTACATTACTCAATTTCTCTATTAATCAATTCTTTGATTTTTCGATTTTTCCTCTTTCCAATTTATCGATTTTTGAAGTTTCCGTTTGGGATTTTTCAATATCTTCAATTTTTTAATTTAAAATTTTTCACTTTTTTGATATTTCGATCTCCCAATGTTTCGATTTTTAAAATTTCTGATTTTTTGAATTTTGAATATTTTGATTTATCGGTTTTTTTAGTTTAAATATGTATTTTAGTTTTAAATTTTCCGGTTTTTCGATTTCGGGCTATTTCGATTTCTCCATTTCTCGGATCTTTTGATGTCTCAATTTTTTAATTTCGATATCTCGGCTTTTCCATTTTTCAATTTTTTATTTCTTCAAGTTTTTAGATTTTTAAAATTCTCCATTTTTCGATTTTATGTTTTGTTATGCTTCGATCTCCCTATTTTAACCTTTTTAATGTGTATTCCAATTTTTCGATTTTGGAATTTTCGATTTCTTACATCTCGATTTTTCGTTTTTTCGATTTTAAAATGTTTTTACTTTTCGTTCTTTTTTTCGATTTCTGGATTTTTCAATTTTTCGACTTTTCAATTTTGAGATTTTTCAATTTGTCGATTTTAAATTTTTTTATGCTTTTCAATCTTTTGTTTTTCTAAATTTTCATTTTTCCATTTCTCGATTTTTCGACTTTTTAATTTTGTTTTTTTTTTATGTTAAATTTTTCGTTATTGTAATTTTTCTATTTTTTAAATTTTAGATATTTAGATTTTTCCACATCTTGAATTCTCGATCTTTTTTCAGTTTGAATTCCTCGGTTTTTCGATTTTCCAAATTTCGATTTTTCAATCTTTCGACTTTTCAGTTTTGAAAATTTTCGATTTCTCGATTTTTCAGTTTTTGATTTTCCAACTTTTAGATGTTTCAAATTTTAGAGTTTGCAAATTTCATGAGTTTTCAGTTTTTAATTTCGTCAACTTTTCGATTTGCAATTTTTCGTCTAGGTTTTTAATTTTCTTTATTTTTTCAATTTTCGGCTTTCAATTTTCCGTTTCTTTAATTTTTCATTTGCAGTTTTTCTAGTTTTCATTTTAATTATGTAACACTTCTAATAGTTATAATTTTTAAAGTTGTTCACTTTTTCAGTTTTTCGTTTTTGGAATTTTTCAATTTTTCGATGTTTGAATGTCACAGTTTTTGGACTTTACAGTTTTCAAGATTCTATAATTTTTCGATTTTACAATTTTTGGATTTTCCAATTTTTCAATTCGAATGCTTTTTCTTCTTTCCGATTCTTCGATTCATTAATTTTTTTTAATTTTTAAGTTTCTCGGTTTTTAGTTTTTCATTGTTTCAATTTTTCACTTTTTCGAGTTTTTAATTTTTCGAATAAACAAAATCGAAAAATTATAAAATAGAAAAATTGTAAAACTGACAAAGTACAAAATGAAAGCTTCGGAAAATAAAAAAATTGGAAATCAAAAACTTAAAAAATCAAAGATTGAAAATGTAAAAAATTGAATAAACAAAAAATTATAAAATCCAAAGAAACATTGAAAAAATAAAGGTAATGGGAAAATGAAAAATTGTGATATAAAATCAAGAAAATGAAAATTACAAAATCGGGAAAATGAAAATATGCAAAATCTGAAAAATATAGAAATTGAAAAATTCATAAAATTGCGATGTTGAAAAATTGAGATGGCCAAAAATTTAAAAATCGAGAAATCGGAAAATTTCTTAAATTAGAAAATTGAGATATGAGAAATCGAAAATTCCAAAAATGGAAAAATTGAAACACATTAAAAAATAAAAATCGGGAAATCGAAACATAAAGATTATAAAAGCGAAAAATGGAAAATTTAAAATATATACTAGAAAAATCTAAAATTTTGAAAATCGAAAAACCAAGAAATCGAAATCGAAAACTTGAGACTTCAAAAGATCGTGAAATCGAAATAAGCCGAAATCGGAAAATTCAAAATTGAAATATTTACTTAAAAAAAAAATAAACAGAAAAATCGAAAAACAAAAAATCGATAAACGTAGATATGAGAAACAGAAAATTCCAAAAATCGAAAAATTGATATACAGATTAAAAAATCGAAGTTAAAAAATCGTAAAAACAAATTCCATTCGATTTTCCGTTTTATCGATTTTGCAATTTTTTGTTTTTTCAATTTTTTCCAATTTTTTAATTTTCCGATTTTTCAATTTTTCGAAGTTTCTGCTTTCCGAATAAACAAAATGGAAAAGTTATAAAATACAAATGTAGAAAAATTGTAAAATTGAAAACTCAAAATGAAAAAACGCAAAAGTATAAAAGGAACGCTTCGAGAAATCTAAAAACTTGAGAAATTGAAGAAACGGAAAATTCAAAAATCGAAAGATTAAAAATTGAGAGACTTAAAGATCGAAAAATTGCGGTCGAAAACACGAAAATTATTGTAAAATCTAAATATTAAAAATTGGAAAATCGAGGAATTGAAAATGTGAAAAATTGAATAAACGAAAAATTGTGATATAAAATCCAGAAAATGAAAATTAAAAAATCGGGAAAATGATATAAAAAAAATGAAGAACTTGAAACAACATCATTACGCCGAATATGTTCATTGCGCTACACATAACCTCAATTTAGTTCTTAATGATTCTCTTAAGAATGGATGGCAACAACTTAACATTGAGATGAAAGAAAATGATAAGTGTGTTATAAAAAAACTTTAAAAAAGTTATGCCCCACCAGATGGTCATCGAGATTTGATTCTCTAATTGCCATTAGATATAATCTCTCAACAGTTATGAGCTGTTTGTCAAAAATTATTTTAACATCAAAAAAGAAAAGTGAAATAGATGAAGCTGTAGATCTTCGTAAAAAAATGGATTCATTTGAATTTGTTGCTCTATTAGTATTTCAATGCAAAATTTTAGAAAATGTCAATTTGGTCTCAAAAACTTGACAGAGTTCAAATATTACTTTAAATGAGGCTTGTAAATGGATGGAACATCTAAAAGACAAATTTCAAAGTATACGTGACAATTTTGAACAAATAATGGAGGAATCAAGGAAATGTGCCGATACCTGGAAAATTAACAATTCTTTTTCAAATAGACGTATAAAAAAAGTAAAACTGTTTCATGACAAATTATGTGAAGATACCGTTTTCAAAGATCCCACTGAAAAATTTAAAACAACCGTTTTCTATCCTGCTCTTGGTATTATAAACATTCAAATTAAAGATAGGTTTGAAAGCATGAAAAACGTCAGAAACTATTTTTCTTTTCTGGAACCACAGGAAATGTTGAATAGTACAGACGAAGAATTGGTGGAGGCAGCATCAAAGTTGGCAAATAAATACGAAGAAGATATTTCTAGTGCAATCTGTGGGCAAATCGTTAGTTTTAAAAACTTTGTTGTTGGTGAAATTATTCAGCAAAAAATAACTAAAATTACAAATATTGCTAAGTTTCTGTTTATGGACAATAATTTTTTAACGAGTAGTTTACCAGATATTTGCGCTGCGTTACTTCTATTTTTAACACTTCCAGTGACTACTTTATCGGCAGAAAGATCTTTTTCTAAATTAAAATTAATTAAATCATATTTGGGAAGCACGATAAGTCAAACACGATTAACCAACTTAGCTGTGTTGAGCATTGAGTGTGATCGATCCCAAAAATTAGATCTCGACAGTGTCATACGCGAATTTATGAACTCTCGACAACGTCGAATGAAGCCAGTATAATCAATTAACAATTTTTAAAAATTATTATGTGTATAAATTATTATTATTTGTAAAATCTGTGTTATTCGGCGCCACTACTGGTAAACCAGTAATTTCAT